TCTATCTGAGCGCTGCCCACCAGGGTTTCTTTCCAGCCACACTTCAGTAATTGCACTTGCAATCAGGCTGAAATTACAGGAGAAAGAATGTGGGGTGGAGGAGCATGTCTCTGCCAGATGCCTGATGAGCCCACTTTCAGGAAGTTACTCTGTGATGCTTTCTCCTTGTAGGTATCTGTTTCCTAGGCAACTGCTTGTCAAGCATTTCTGGACCCCCAAACAACAAATTGATTTCTTAGACATATATCACAGTCTCCGGAAGCAGTCCCACTCAGAAATCATTGCTTATCTAGAAAGGGCCAGCGCACTGGTTTCTGATGAGAGGCTTCGCTGGCATCTGACAGACGTGTGCACCAAGGTACTGCTTCAGCCAAGCCTTTCTCCAGCTGGTTGCATTGCACAGGATCTGCTAGGAGCAGCTGACCAGGGTCTCTAAAACCTACCCACTTCTTACTTACAAGGTGCAGAACGGTACCCACCCAACAGCACATGACATCCTGGCTCTCAGAGAATGCTTCTCAACTTATCCCCTGGGCTTGAATCAACTCCAGGCTCTGCAAATGGTGAGCACTTAGAGGTCTTGTATGTCCACAGAATCGCTGTGTTGTAGGCTGTAAGTAAAACTATCTCAATTCTTCCTCCTCTGCTGTGTCACAGAAAGCCTTGAGCCGGGCCATGCTCCTTACGCCTTACCTGCCTCCGCCCTTGTTGAGATGGCGCCTAAAGAGTCATACCACAGTGATTCACCAGCTGGACAGGGCTCTGGCAAAGCTGGGGATTGGCCAGCTGACTGCTCAGGAGGTGAAATCGGTAAGAGGTTGATTGCAGCATCAAGCAGTGTCCCAGAGTGAACTGGAAGCTTGCAGGGCTCTTTATCTTGCTTGTCCCAAAATTCAAGCTGTTTCTGGGTTGTTGTAGTTTTTGATATAGGATCTTACGATATAGCCCTAGCTGTCCTCAAACAGCACAGGCTGGCCTCATACTTAGAGCAGTCCTCCTGTCTCAGTCTCCCACGTGTTGGGGTTATAGTCAGACCCTCTGTACCTGGCTCTAAGCTAATTGATTTTATTTTTATGAATTTTCCCCCAATGTACCTAACTAGTAGGAAGAGAAAAAAAGAAAGCCAGGCCCATGGGCAGGGTACTTGGGAGGCCCCAGCACAACCTGTTTAAAACAATTCAAGAACAGTATATCTTGAGCTTGCTATTTTAGGTCATGTAGATGTACCAGTTAGCTTTCCATTCTTGTAGTGAATACCTGAGTCTATCAACTTAAAAAGAAGGAAGGTGGTGTTTTTGTTTTAATTTTTGGTGGTTTTGGCTCACAGTTTTGGAGGTGTTAGTCCTGATCAGTTGGCCCCGTTGGTTTTGGTGCATCTCAGGGTATGAGATGAAGCATAGTTGATCATGTCCTGGCAGCTGGGCAGCAAGAGACAGGAAGAGGAAGGCTGGCATCACGCGGTGCCCTGCAAGGACATGCGCTCATGAACGCAGACTGCTCGCTAGGCTTCAGCTCCTAGTTTCTCCTCCTGCCTCCCAGGAGCATAGAGTGGAGGTCTAAGCCTCCCCCATGGTTGCCTGGACTAGGCTTTCTCTGTGACGTGTCATGCAGGCCTGTGCGAGCTGCAGGAGCACTCTACCAGGGACGTGTTTTTAACCCGGCACTGAGCCTTGGCAGGACGTGGAGCAATAGACCTGTTTGGTTATCATTTCTAGTTTTCATTGCATGGTGAAGGTTTTTTTTTTCCCCTGAGACAGGGTTTCTCTGTAGCTTTGGAGCCTGTCCTGGAACTAGTTCTTGTAGAGCAGGCTGGCCTCGAACTCACAGAGATCCACCTGTCTCTGCCTCCCAAGCATTGGGATTAAAGGCGTGCGCCACCACTGCCCAGCTGTTTCTTATGGGGATGAGACTGCAACTTGTTCAAAAGATCCAGTCACTGTGGATGTCTGTTTCTGTAGCATACTGTGATTATTAAGGATGTCTCTCTTCCGAGTGGTACAGGCTTGCTATCTTCGTGGCTTGAATTCTACCCACATTGCTGATGACAGGTGTCGGGCTTGGCTGGGAGAATGGTTGCAGATTTCCTGCAGCCTAAAAGGTAAGACAAACCTTTATGGCTGTGCTAACTGAAATCAAACTTTAGAAAACAAACAATAAAAACCAAACGGACCAAAACCCAGGGCCTCACTGTGTGCTCTGGCTGGTTTGGAACTATGTACCAGATTGGCTTTGAACTTGCAGCTGTCCTGCTTCTCCTCCTGAATGCTGGGATAGGTATGCACCACCATACCCAGCTCATTTTTGTACTTTATCCTGGGATTACTTGCTGAGTATCATGAAGCTTTTATCTAACATGTATTTATTTTGTAATTGAAAGGGCACAAACTTGAGTGCCTACAAGAGCACAGACCGTGTAAGACCAAAGGACTGCCTGCTGCTGAGGCAGAGCTTCCTAGCCTGGGCGCTGCTGGCATTCTGTTAGGGGCTGTCTCATGCACAGGAGAGTATGTAACAAGCATACTTGCCTATACCCATTCCATGCCAGTCAGCCCTGGATCTCTAGTGTGCCAAACAAAAGATATCTCCAGACACTAGTAGATGGTCCTGAGCTTGGGGTAATGAGGGGAGAGGGACACACCTGTCCTGGGTGAGAAGCAGTCTTGAAGCACCAACTTCTCCCATGAGGTGACTGCCATCATGTGAGAATCAGGACACTGTGGGCGTGAATAAATAATGGAAGCCGAGGGGCATGCGTGTGGGGTTGGAGTGAAGCCAGGGTCCACAGGTCAGCCTCATGCTGCTGCCCTCCACATCCCTGGCTTCTACCTCACGCCGAGCTCTCAACTCCAGGGCAGTAGAAGGGAAACTGAGTCCTAGCCAAGCACTAACCCTGATGGTGTTTGCAGAAGCTGAGCTGTCCCTCTTGCTGCACAACGTGGTCCTGCTTTCCACCAACTACCTTGAGACCAGGCGCTGAGTGAACCATGGAGAGAATGACACTGTCCTGCAGTCACATAGTATTGTAGTGTGGGACCAGGCCGTACTTGGCAGCAGTCTGCACTTAGTGTGGGAGGCAGAGGAGCAGGTTCCATGGGCTTTGAAGCACGATACCCATCTGGGAGGCACAACATTCCCTCACAGCTTGAACTTGAACTAAATAAACCGCGTGTGCTGCCATCCCGCCATGCTAACCAGGAGCTGGCAAGCACCTCTGGTACTGGACTTTTATTGTGATGTGATGTTTAGGTCCTGTTAACAGTTTTTGCCCAGATGGGAACCATCTGACCTAAAATCCATGACTGCCATGGTTTCTTCTTACATTTTTATTTTTTCTGACATAAGTCTATGTTGCCCAGGCTGGCTTCAAATCTCTGTGCTCAAGGGATCCTCCCACCTCAGGCCTCTGGGTGCTGGGACTCAGGTCTATAGCACACTGGCCTCACTGCCGCACCCTTTATAGCCGTGAGGGGTTTTTGTGACAGTCTCATGTAACTGATGACTGTGAACTCCTGGTCTTCCTGCTCCCACCTCCCAGGGCTGGGATACAGGATGAAGTACCACACAGAGCCTGTGAGGCCTTAGGAACCGACCAAGGGCTTTGTTGTGCCAGGCAAGTGCTCTCCACCCAGGCTTTCTGGGTGCCAGGAGCCCTACTGCCTAGACTGGAGCACTAACACCTGGGCCTGCACCTTGACACCCTGCTAGTCTTTTCCTCGCCCCTTTTCTTTTTTGGCCTTTTTGAGACAGTCCCACTGTATAGCCCAGGCTGGCCTGGAATTCACTATATAGCCCAGGTTGGCTTTCAGTTCCTGGCAATCCTGAAAATTCTGCCACAGCCTCCTGGGTACTACGATTACAGGCGTGAGCCACTTTTTGATGTGACCAAAAGTAGAGACACTTTCCCCTTCACTGGCACGGACTGTTCACCTTCTTCCTGTTCATATTCTCTCAACACATGCTTTTCTTTGTTTCGTTATTTTTATTTTTTGCTTTTAAGGGAACATTCTAAAGGAGGTGAAAAGCTAAAGGACGGCCGCTTGGCCCCTCCCTCCGGTGTCTTAATTTTCAGGCTGTCGCACAGTCCCTGAGGACCTTACGTGTTTGCTACCTCCACTGTGTTGCACTAAACCATCTGTAGCCAGCAGTGGCTGCCTTCTTTAGGTCATGGGTCGTAAGATACTTACTATTGCCTAGTCCTGGGAGACCAGGAGATCTGCATCAAGATAGTGAGCTGGGTTTGGCTGTCATGTGTACATCTGTAACTTACTGTAAATGCATGAAGCATTGTTTTTAAACCCAAGTAAAGACTGCCTGAAACCAGTTTTGGGGAATTACTTACGCACACTCTACTCATTTTTCATGAGGCTGATGTGACCTAACTCGTGGGTATTTAAGTGGCTGGAACAGAGTTTTCTGATGTGATGAAAGGAAATCTGGAGGGTTCTGTTCAGTGTTATCTACCAGACATACAGGAACGGTAATCAGAATAGAAAAACGGGCTGGAAAAATGGTTCAGTGGTTAAGGGCACTGAATGCTTTCCCACAGGACCGGGGTTCAAGTTCCAGCACCCATTCAGCAGCTAACAACTGTATGTAGCCCCAAGATCTGACATTCTCACACAGACTTACCTGTAGGCAAAACACCAATGCACATAAAATGAAAGCAAATTTTTTAAAAAGAAAAGAAATAGAGAAAAAGGTAACTGCAGACAGCAGGGTATAACAGGCCAAGTCTGTTTAAGCGGAAGTGGTTTATAAGGGAATCCTGGGCAGGACAGGTTCTCAGTGCTCAAAAGACAATTATCTACAGTTCCATCACAGACTATTCCTATCTAATAGTTCCTAACTAATAGTTTTATACCTGCAGCAAGAGACAGTTATCTGCATTTCTATCACAGAATATTCCTATCACTGATACTTGTCCCTAAGTAACAGTTTTATACCTGCAGCAAGAGAAGCACCCGTTCTTAACAAATAACTGTGGCTTGCAAAGAAAACCATTCTTTTGAATATTTCTTTAATATTACATTTAAATATTCTCTTTAAATACAGCATCATTACCATGTAAAGAACCTAGAGGGGGAGAAACTGTTTTCAGAGAGCCAGACAAGCTTTGGATTCACATTGAAAATACGACCTGTGCACAGTATGCAAGGAGACAGTAGAACAAGAGCTGTGGTAAGGAGCCGCAGGCCTAGACTGAGGGGGACTGGTTCTGCTTCCGTCAGAGGCCTAGCCTTCCTAGCAGGAACTATCATTTCTGCCCAGCGCAGGTAGCACCAGAAATGAGACGGACCAAGCTGTAGAAAGGTCCTTTGCTTGACATTCGCCAGTGCTAAACATTTAGCACTCAGATTGGGGATCAGTTTGAATCAGAACATGGAATTAATGACGAGATGCATTTAGAATAAGAAACTAGAATTATATCAGATATCTTGGGGGTTGGCTCGTCTTGATGACAGTGAGTGGTAGGTATGTCTCCTAATGAAAATCCAAGGCCAAGGGATGAGAACATTGGAGTCTTAAGGAGGAAAGGTGCTGAGTTCCTTCCTTCCCAACAAACCTTCAAAAAGGTTCTTCTCTCCACCAGCCAGTCTCAGTTAGCTTCGGTCTTGGGTTTAAGAAGTCTAGCTGAGGGTGAGAGCATCTTGGCCTCTGGTACCCAGGTAACTCCTGTGAGGCTGTAGAGAGAACTAGGTGCTTCTGCTGCCACACACAGTCAGGCTCGCTCTGCAACCCCAGGGCCTTAGTATCCCACCAAAAATAAATAGAGTCGAGCAAAGCGGTGCACACCGGCAATCCCAGTGCTCAGGATGTGTGTCAGGAGGACGGCCACAGGCTGGAGGCCAGCCTGGCCCACACAGTAAGTTCCAGGCCAGCCAGGGCTATTTAGCAAGAACCTATCTCAGAAAATCAAAGCAAATTTCATTTCCTTTCCTGGTTGGTGGAGAATGAGAGGAAACTGTCTCACTCCACCTCCACTGAACCAGGGGGCAGAGGTAACATCGCCAGCAAAAGTCAGAGCTGAATGGGGATCTGGGAACTTTAATTAGGGCGAGAGGAGCAAGGCCTGCTGACTGAGGTAAGTGTTGAATCTGAGTCCCAGTCTGTACATCTCAAAGATTATAATCAGACCTTGAATCCTTTGGGGTCTGGGAGTCCTATGTCATATTACTAAGAATCAGTTTGTTTTCATAAATCTCCAAGACAGAAGGGTCCAATAAACACCCACAATTCTCAGGTTTGAACTGTGATATCCAAAGGGCTTTCTAACCCTAGGTAACCAAGGACCGTGAGGGTCGGTACAGAGAGACGATCCTAACTAGCTGATGACTGTACTGTACTTTATATTCCATGTAGAGCCAAGCTCTCCCAAAAGGAGTGTGTGGGTGCACTAGGTGAGAAGACAGCAGTCATCGTCCAGACTGTTCCACACTGGACCCTGCCTAATGGTGTGCAAGCCTTGTGCTCCGTACCACGTCCAACCTGCATTTTTTTCTTTTAAGGAAAAAGGATAGAGGAAAAGGCAGAAAAGTTTAACTCTAGTGTCTAAGAACATAGAAAGGAATATTTCAAGTTACAGACCAGGAATCCTGTCCACAGAGCAGGTCAGGGAATACCAAACACGCTGAAAATGAACTTATTTCCCAGATAGGAGGTGGGAGAAAGGGCAGGATCAATGTTTAGAACTGGAGGCTTTGTAGAGAAGTGGAGACTTCTGCAGCCTCTGTTCTAGACTCAGCTGAGTGGCCTTTCCAGCAGTGTGACTGATACACCGAGATGGCTGTCTGAGGAGAGAGCCCGTGCCCTGCAGGGAGCTGCTCACATCCTTAGTTCTGGCCCTGTGCATGAAGAAGAGCTACTTGAGCTACCCAGCTCACTGTGTGAGCGACATCTTTGTTCTGGTGGCCCAGTGAGCTCAGTACTGGAAACTGAGCTGGGGCTGGTCTCTTTCCCTTCTTAAAAACACATGTACTAACAATTACCCTTTCCTACCCATTTTCCTAAGAGTTTCAATAAAATAACCTTGGAGCAGCAGTCCTGTTTTGAAATGGTGTTAGATAATAAATAGAGAACGGGCAGTGTCTACCTCAGGTCACACTGCCAGAGGGAGCTCTAGGGCAGAGTCTTCAGCTGGGATCCTCGCTCTGCTGGGAGTTCTGCACTCCACAGCCTTCTCCATTGTCCGTTCGGAAGGGTAGGCTTGAGGGAGACCAAGGCGGGTGGAAGCCTTCGTTCTCAGGCTGCTTAGGGTTACAGTCATCGGGCAGCAGTTGGTCGAGAGCGGGTGTTTTCCCCACCTCTGGTTTACAGGGGGCAGCTGAGTCTGAGGAGTTGCGAGCCACCAGCGAGGTAACGGGGAGGGAGAACACGCTCAGATCTTTCTCCTTAGGGAAGGAGGCTGTGCCATCTTCCGACCCAGACTCTCCCTTCACTCCCAAGACTGGCCTCTGCTCCACCTGGTAGTAGACCAGAGGCCCACTGTTCAAGTAGGATGGGTTGCTCACCGGGGGGGCAGCGGGGTGCTCTGAGTTCTCGGTAAAACACAGGACGGAGGAACCTGGGGGCAGCTGAGCCTGGATGAGAATGGGGGTGGCCAGGCCTGGACACAGCTCTTGGGGAACAGCCAGGGGCTCTTCCAGGATGCACACCCCCAGGCTCTCCATGCTGGAGTCCAGGCTAGCACTGGAGCCGCTCGAGTCCTCCTCTGCCTTGAGCCGCTCCAGCTCCTCCGCGCTCTGCAGGTGCATCACTGCAGTCTCGTTCTCAGCGATGAACTCCTGGAAGTCCTGCGTCTCAGAACTCTGGGCTCCTGGCAGGCTGCAGCCAGTAGTGGGCAGGAGCTCATCCTCAGGGGCTGCTGGGCGACTCCCCTGTCGCTTGCTCTCGAGCTCCAGCTTCATGATGGTGTGGAGGTAGTGAGTCCGTACTCGGATCGGATTAAACTCAATTCGCCCCGCCATGTTTCCACAGCCATCCCTGGAGCAGCCACAAGGAAAGGACATCCGATCCACCTGAGGGACATATGAGGTTGTGGTGAGATTAGACCAATAGTTCTAGCAGTAGGTGACATCAGCTGGCACACACAGGCAGCTGGGATCTGAGCAGTGACATGCAGCACAAGCTAACAGCACTAGGCAGTGGTGAGCAGAACGCCTGCACATCAGCTCCAGCAGCTCAGGGCTCATCTATTTTCTCCCCTGGGCTCTGTCTCCTCTTCTAAATCAAAAGACAAAAATCCCATCAAAGGCTCCTTCCAGTTAGCAAGCCCAGTGCTACCTCTCTGAACACTGCTGTCTCAGAGGAGAAGAGAGTTTGTGCCTCAGGGACTTGCAGAACTTACCTGGTTCACTGGGACAATAAAAGGCTGGGCCCAAGCCTTCTGCAATGACAGGCGTGGTAAATGAGTGGAGATCTTGCTACGTCAATGCAATACACTCTAGGGAAACTAAACAGAGGTGCCTTAGTGCTGCGGTGAAGGGTCACACTGACCAGCTCTCACCACCAGCTTCTCCCTCAGGGTTACCAGTGTAGTTCTGGCGGATACCAAGATAGCTGACTCACAGCCAGGGCTATCACTGGGACGGCAGAGGCAGGAGGACTGCTGTGAATCTGAGGCCAACCTGGTCTACGTGGTGAGTTCCAGGCCAGCCTGGGCTACACAGTTTTAAAGAAAAAAATAGTAAGGAGATGCTTTCTGCCTCTTTATCTCCCTCTTTATCTGCCCAAAATCGAAACTCCTAAGAATCACGGAGCAAACAATACAAACACATCTTATGGTATCAGCTTATTGAAATCTCCAGACCCATGGTGTGGCGATGCACACCAATGATTCCAGAACTTGGGAGGTGGAAGCAGTGCCAAGAGTCCAAGGTCATCCTTGTTAAGCCAAGCAAGTTCAGGTCTAGGCCAGCCTGGAATGAGACCTGTCCCTCTCCTGCAAAAGGAATCTATATCTAGACCCAGCAGTTGATAAGACTCTTCTCAGGTTTGTGAATGACTGACTCACCATGGGACTGCAATCTGGAAAGGAAGATTTGGCCAGACTTGCTATAGTTCTTTTTTACTAAATAAAGCCAAGGAAAATGAGTTCTAGGGTTCAACTACAGGACTCAACACCATGCCCCAGCACGAAGTTCCGTAGGTTTCACTGATTTGGGTAGCACTGATGGTTTCCAGGAAAGTGGGAATTTCAAATAATCTCTTTGAATGCCAACAAGAAGATACTTTATTTGAGGAAACTGAGGACTTAAGTTCTGTCAGCTAAGGTCTGGTCCTGAATCAGAGACTCAAAACTACTTTGCCTTTCACAAAACTGGAAGGAGATGCTGTGTGCAGATGAGAAGCTGAAGGCTGCCCCACTTGTTTCCTTCCATCTCAGAATCCCTATCTGAGGAGCACTTGCCAAGTGGGAAAGAGAGTTACCCTGTTCACACTTGCCAAGTGAGAAAGGGAGTTACCCTGTTCACACTTGCCGAGTGGGAAAGAGAGTTACCCTGTTCCTTCCTTTGCTGCCAGCTGCTTAGCACCTCTGAGGTATAGTCAGAAAAGATAATGGGCACCTCCACGGTGTTTTCCCCTGCTTGCTTTCTTTGGGAGGGCTGTGGAACTGGAGCACAGTTCTCAGCCATGGACTATCTCTGGACTGGAAGCTTCCTGTCCTCGCTGGCACCCAACCCACCCCCAATGTTGGGATAGATATACCATCTCAGGCCAAATATGACTGACCTGGCACTTAATTCCAGCCTGGCTACAGGCACATGCTTCTGGGTCACAGTAGAGCCGACAGTCACAACCACATTCTTCCCGAGATAGGCGGATGGCTCTAAGTTCTTGCTTCTCTTCGGCATCAATCCGGTGGACTCCGGATGCTCTTAGCAGGGCCCGCCGCCTCTTGGTGGGCAGGGGCTGGAGGAAGAAGTAGTCATCCACTTCCACGTTCTCCACATCGATGTCTTCGTCTGAGACGTCATCCAGTGTCAAGCCATCCGCCTCCACTGACTCCACTGTCCCATTCTTGGTCAGCTGCCAGGAGACAGGAAAGGTCAGCGCTGGAGCATCAGCAGTGCAGTGACCACAGCAGACCCCGGGTCTGCAGCCAGGAGGAGCTATGTCCTACACCACAGCACAGTAAACACTGTGAAACTGAATTTTATTTAATTTTACACTTAAACAGCCAAAATAAGTGATGGTTGCCATACTAGACCACACAGGGTATGATTAACACCAGAGCAAAAAGACAGAAACTTTATCTGGCTCTAACACTACACTGTCAACAGCAGAGACATCACCTGAGTTCTGGGTCCTCAAAGACGGCTCTCTGCCCAGTCTGGCAGCACAGCCATCACCCCACCTACTCAGGAAGCTGAGGCTAGGGACACAGGCAACATCATGGTCCTGTCTAGAGAAATGTTTAGAATACAGCACAAACATTCCTCCATCTCTAGATTGCTACCTGCACTGCAGTGGATGTGTATCAGTGGCTGCGTGTTCCTCAGTGATATCGGTAACCTTGTAAAACACCCTCAACTTAAACCCTGGAGAACCCGAAACTATCTTCAGAGAAAAAGGGTACTTTACATAACACCAGCTCCCAGGGTGTTCGTCAACAAACTGATCCCCCACACTGTAAATAATTGCCCGTGCACTCAGAACAACTGCATTTTACTGCTAAGGGAGTGGGCAGCCAGTTACTGACCACTATCAAAGCCCTGACTTCCAACACAGTCTAGAAGAAACGCTTTCTTCCTTCTGATCCTGGTTTATTTCACACCAGAGAAAAACCTGTGTCAGGTGGGCAGTGTAAATAACATGCTGTGTGTTATCTATGGGCAGAGATCTGGGTTCTCTGCACTGATCTGGATAGAGAGTCAGGGCAGGACTCTGGAAGGACAGGCTGGAGACAATTTCTGGCTGAATGAGCTCTACAAACTCACTAGAGGATCTAAGTAAAGAAAAGAGGCCCCAGCCCCTGGGGCCCCGGGAGCTGCTAGCAGGCTGGAAGCTCAGTGGCTGGAGTCTTTGCTTTGTTTCATCAGACAGCAGGAGTGCTGGGAGAGGAACAACTCCCACGGGAGATGTGATGCAACAGCCCAAGGAGGAAGGCTTGCGGGGGAACTGGGGGACTGGGAACCTCACTCGGACTTCTCCAGTCTGTTACCTCTGTACACCGTTCCTGTGTGTGGCTCATCCCCAGCATTCCTGCCGCTCTCAAGGGAAAGTGATCAGGGAAGCGAGCTGACTCCAGATCACCACAGAAGGGGTGTTTCGGAGCAGTGCAGGCTTCTAGCCATTACAGTGCTGGGATGAGGTATTCTTGGGGAAAGAAACACCAAGGCCAGGAGTACCAAGGCCAGGAGTGGTGGTCCCTACTTAATAATCCTGCACTTAGGAAGTAGAGGCACGAGGAACAAAAGCACAAAGCTATGCCCTGCCCCACAGCAAGTTCAAAGCTAGCTTGGAATCCACGAGATTTTCCCAAAACAAAACAACTACCACCTAATTCACACTACTTACAATAATGAATCCCATGTGGATAAAACAAAACCAAACTATTAGGAAATTATATGTAATGAAGGTTACGGAGTTCTAACAGTTGACTGGAACAGCTCCAAAGGAAAAGAGACATCAAGTGGCACCCGAGAAGACTGTGCCCTGAGAGGTGCTAAAGGCAGGAAACCTTCCTGGGGAGGCAGGCGAGCATGTTCCTGACACCCCTGTCAGCACTGTTAGCACTCAGTATGTCCTGCTAGGGACAGACAGATGCTACTTACACCACTCCTCTGCCTCATTTGGGAGAGTTGTCTTATAGGAAAGGGCAGAGAACCTTCCCTGTAACTGAGAAGAATGTTTGTCTAGCTGTTGCTATAGCAACAGAAAGGCGACAGGGTCAGTGACAGAATTCCTCAGAAGAAAGGGCAGGCCGAATGTCATTGTCATTACAGTAACAGGTCTAAGACCCTAGGAGCAGACTGAGAGCCTACAAAGAATGAAACTGGTGAGATCCAGGCAGTCTCTGCCCTCTGCTGCCAGGTCTCCAGCCAGCCATAGCCTGTTCAGTTCCACCTACACCCTGAAAATAAGGCAGCCACCTCATGCTCTGGGCTCAGAAATCCATTATCATTCATATTCTCTGTCTCCTGAACTGGGGACTTTGACTGCTCAACAACTAAGCTATGCCCCATTTCTGGGGAAAATTGGAGGGCTTACAGAAACTCTGACAATGGAGTGTCAGCACTCTAAGGTACATGGGTGTCTGCGGAGGGTCTTCTGGTGGTGTCAGCACAGTAGAGTAGGTAAGTGCTTTTTAAAGACTGATTTACTTGGCCAGGTCTGGTAGTGTATGCCTTTAACAACCAGCACTTGGGAGACAGAGGTGGGCACATATCTACTAGTGACTTGAAGCTAGCTGGTCTACATAGCAAGTTCCAGTCCAGCCATATGATCACCACGTAGGTGCTGGTGACCAAACCCAGATCCTTCACAAGAACAGCACATGTTGTGAGTGCCGAGCCACCTCTCCAGTACCGTGGTGTACTGGTCTGTGAAACTAACCATGAAATAATGCTACTAGAGACCAAGGGGGCTGTGTCAGTCTTCAGGGCTGATGGTGTGAAGGGTCAAAGCCTGCTCTGTTCTACTCCTGTGGGCAAGGACAGTTGCTGACAAACTGGGAAGTTTTACGTGTTCACATTCCCCAAAGCATCCCTGTGCTAGGGAGACGGGGATAGTGCAGGGAGAGTCATTTTTGTCTTAGCTGCCAGTGCCACCAGAGATGGCAAGGAGACTCAAACTAAGATCTAATTGAAGACCTTGGCCTCAGCATGCAGGAAGCACCAGACCCCACGCCCCACAGGCACCTTCATTTTCTTGGCATGAAGTTTCTCCTCCTTCAGGTGCTCACGAAGAATCTCTCTATGGTTCACTTCTTGTTCTTGTGCGAATTCACAAAGGGTGTAGCTGCGAACAGAATTATGGCGCTGGGCCATTCCCAAGGAACTTCCACCCTGGCTGGGCACACTTGTGAAGCCCTGACGCCGGGCAAAGTAGTATACAGTCACCTGGTCAAAGCGGACATTCTTCCTCCGCAGCTGCTTCTGCCGCTTCAGGATGGATGTGGCTGTGAATGGAACACAGGGCTCTCACCTGCTGCTATACACCCAGGCTCTTAACCTGTCCCCAAATAGTAGACTATTTCCAAGTATGCAAAACTGGAAAGAGCCTGGGACCTCAGCTGGTTCATACTACTGCCTCCAGACTGACTTCATCCAAATAGATGGCCACAAAATCTATTTTTAGACAGTAACTGGGAATACTAGGTGCCCTTTTCAGGAGAAAAGAAAATTGCCATGTGATAGTTGAAACTAATTAAAACTCAATTTAGAAACCCCAGCTCTTCAGTTTGCACTTCAGTCGACTCGTGTGACTAAGAACTAGCAGTGGACCACGCTGACGAGGACCACTTCCACCCAGGAAGTCCAACCGGACAGTGCTCTACAGTGGAGCATTTCTCCAACACGCCTGCTGAGAAATATTTTAGGCTCTTTAGGGCATGAGGTCTCTGACGCAACTCCTCAAGCATGCTGCTAGTGCATAAAGACAACCACAAACAATGGGTGTGAGTGTCCCAACGAAACCACGGAAACGAGCAGCAGACCAGACTTAGTCCACAGCCACGGCCTCACTACCAGGGGTTCTCTAGAGGGACAACCTGAGAACAGGGAGATGCCACTGTGCCCAGGCTAGGTGCCTTTGGAAAAGCTGCAGGCGGTTCTGAATGGTACCCTCACAGCTTTCAGAGTTCAGACCCTTGGAGAGTTATGGGATCAAGATAATAGGAAGGAAGAGATCTGGAGATGCCACAGTGGCCAAACCAAATACCCACTCCTGCTCCAGTTACAATTTCTTGAACCTCTGGGCAAGTCCTCTGAGGTCAAAGTAGAATACCAAGCTCCTGTTCCTCCATCACATCACACCCATTCTAGGCACCCCAAACCACAGCACAAGTAGAATAAATCAGACCAGTTTATGCTACTGGAGCAGTGAGGTTTGCCAAAAATCAAGACATGCTATGGAAAGGGCACATGCCCAGGATGGACAGAGCGGTCTCAGGCTGCAGGGGCTCACGGGGACAGAGTGCAGGCAGGAAGGGAGCAGCTCACTCACGTGTGAAGCTGGCGGTTGTAGGAGGGTTGAGGCTGTCACAGCTGTCAGCGCTGTCACTGCTGGAGACCTCATCATCCGAGTTGGAGACTGATGAGCCCACATCCACATCATCAAATTTCCTCTTGAGCCCTGAGCCCGAGAATGCATCCATTGGATTCAAATGGTTTGCTTGGGGAGCCAACCACGATGGCCCCGAGGCTGCTCACCACCAGTTAGCCAGGAGCATTAAGATTCTGCCCAAGGGAGAAGAGGAGTCAGCACTGCTGTCCAGAGACACACCCGCCAAGTCTGTAAACACATCGCTCTAACTGAAGAAAAGCTAAGCACCTGGCCTAGCACAGTCTGGCTTCTCAGGACCAGGTCATTTCTTTGTTGACTCTGGCCAGCATTCTTACTTGCTTCCTTTGGCTCCTCCAGCCTCAGTTACTCTGAGTGAGTCTGCATAGCCCCTCCCAATGGAGGAGTGGCTTCACTTCCAACCCTGCTGGCCACAGCAGTCACTGGGCTAGCATTCACTGTTCAAAGACAGCAAACCCTCTGCTTAAACCTAAGCCAGGCCCAAATATTTATCCCAGTGATAACACAGCCTGGCATGTCCCCAAGTGTGTATCTTAAATACACTAGTTCCATGGTATTAATAGCTTCTTGAATGAAAATAGGACTGCTGTTAAAATAGCTGAAACCAGCTATGGCAGAATCGCCTAGGGTTTTTTAATATACTTATGAGCTTGCATGGTAAAGGCTGGAAGAAAACAGTGCAGTGTTTCAAAGCCTGATTGTGGAACCCACTGTTGCCGAAGTATGTTAGGGGGCAGATAGTCCCTGGAACACACTTTGGGAAATTCTGCTCCAGGCTCTCAATTTTGAAGGACATTGTCAGTCAGGAAAACCCTTGACCCAGATCTTCGCAAGTGTGAAGTGTCTCACCAGGCTCCTAGAAAGGGCAAATTTAGTACTAAAGAAAGGAGCCAAGATTAGAATCTGCACTGGCTTCCAAACCCAGAAACTGGGACTATGGGTGCAGCTCTGCGCAGAGCCCTTGCCTAGTGTACACGAGGCCCTGGGTTTGATCCCAGCTCCAGAAACAACACAAAGAAAATAAAACTTTACAATCTCTGGTCTCTAAAAAGAAACCATCAAGGGAATACAGAAAAAGAGGTGACAGTTAAAACTGGTTACATCAACACAGCAAGCGCAGGTTTTTCTCTGTCTCTGTCTTTGGACTTAAGTTCCAAAAGGACAAGAATCTGTACAGGAGAAATGCTGCCAGCCAAACCCCCATGTGGCGAGGTAAGACACTTCCCACGCTGCAATCTCACAGGCGGTTAACTGCAGCGGGATTACCAGCACTGCCTTACTGCCGAGTAGCTACCCAGATTCACTGTGGAGACAGAGATGGCTGGTTTTCTGGACTACTTTAGTAGCAATTTAGATCTGCTCTACAAAGTGAGCCAGACCTGGTGCGTGCTTCAGGGATTTCCTAAAATACATACTCAGGTCGCATAAAAATCCTGCGTTCGAGTCACAAGACGAGCTGAAGCGTATTAGCTTTCAGTTTCAGGCACGCAATCCCTCAAATCAGTTCGGCTAAGAAGAAAACTTAAATCAAGGAGCCTGGTGTGGTGGTGCACAGCTTTAATCCCAGCACTCAGGAGGCAGAGGCTGGAGGATCTCTGTGAGTTTGAGCATAGCCTGGTCTACAGAGTGCGTTCCAGGACAGCCAGGACTACACAGAAACTGTCTTTAAAAAAAAAAAAAAGTGTATGTAAAAGATAACAAAGGGCTGGTAGGCAGCAGCTAAGAGTGCGGGCTGCTCTTCCAAAGGACCCAGGTTCAGTTCCAGCATCCAACCCTTTAACTCCAGTTTCAGGGAGTCTGAAACCCTCTTCTGACCTCTTCAGGTACCAGGCACACAGTGGTATGCAGACACATATGCAGATAAAAAAAGTCTATTCACATAAAATACAACCAAAACATTTTTTTAAAAGAATCGAATGAGTCCAGCGTGTCAGCTGTGATCCTTGGGTCTGACCACACCTTCTTAGAAATGTGAGTGAGGGTGAAGGGACTTTCTACGGGTAAGATTTTAGCTGGGCTTAAAGATGATACCTTTCAGCTAACAAATGTCTCATTCCATTCTATTCTGGGTGAAGGAGCATGGCGTGCGCGCTGGGAGGGGGGCATGTTTGTCATTAAATATTCATGTGGATACTATAGAGGAAAAGGAGAGGGCTGTCTGCTGAGTCCAACAACCACACACACCACCAGTGCCTTCTCAACTACACAGAAGCCAACACTGAGCAGAAAACCTGCCTCTTGGAAATGGCGTTAGCGCTCCTTCCGTTTAACTGGCTCCGGCTAATACTTGTAGAAAATTGCTGTTCCTCAGCCTGGAAGCACTCAGGGATTTATGACCGGAAGCAAAGGTTCACTCTGCTCCTTCCTTGGGATCCTCTGCTTCCAGTAATGTGGATTTCCTTTGACTGTTACTCTTTAAGTCTCACGTGAACTTGGATCTGGGCCCAAACCATCTTTATTAGTAAAATTCTTCCTTATCTTAACCCAGCTGCCCTTAAGAGCACCCTTTCATCAGGGTTACTTTGTGCCCTTGAGTGTGGAAACGCTGGCTCCTTGCTCTAAGCCTCTTTGTTCATGTCTTCTCACTTCTGGAGTTGTGGTTTGGGCAATGACAGAGGAAGGTAGGAAAGAAAGGGGGAGGAGAAAGCTGTAAAACGTAAGGAAAAGTAATTTCCTTAAGTTGCCAATAACCAGGGCTACATGAGTAAATACTGCGTATACTGACCTATGTGGCCTATTCCATGAAAGGGCTGGGGAGGGACCTGGGTAGGACAGCGGTTGCCTACCTACCATGCTTGAAGCCTTCCCTGGCTTCAATTCCCAGCACCACAAAATAAAAACCAGTTCATGGGTGCTCCTCTGCAACAGTCTTCAAACTCCACTGCTCTAGGTCCCATCCCCTAACTCAGGATGTTACGACACTCCTGTAAAGTTACCTGTTACTGAAAATTGTTTACGTTTAGTTATATAGCCCAGATTGGCCCTACAAGGCCCCAGCTTGTTTTGGAGAAAGGTATGGAACTCACAGCGGTCCTCTTGCTTCAGCTTCCCAAGTGTTAGGATCAAGGTGTGTGCACCAAGTGCAGCCCTCCAGCACTGAGAACTTAAATTCCTATTATTTCCTGCAAACAATGGAAGTTTATATTTCAACTCAGCTCTCCTTATCCAGCTCTTTGGTGTGAACTTGACCATGAACTTCCCACCTAGTTAGTCCCAAAGTGCCTTGAAGAACTCACGTATACTACAGTAACCACTAGAACAGGTTCCATTAAGAATGAGTCACTCCCACTGGCTCAGCTATTCCCTTAATGGTAAAAGATCATGCATGAGTTCAGAGGATACTCTTTAGCCCTCACCTGATGGCACATGCATGTAATCCCAGCACTTAAGTGCAGAAGGAGCAAAAGTTCAAGGTCACCCTTGGCTACAAAGCAAATTTGTAGCTACCCAAGGCTACATGAAACCTGTCTCAACCCCTACCCTCCACTTTTATGAGTTATATCCAAGCACTCAAACCTATACAGAAATAACCAAGGTGAGACTAGAAATGCCGGTCAGAATACTTAATGTCTAAATAAACATCTCACACAACAAATAATGGTGTCTCCCTCAAAGTTTTCACATGCTGGTGAGATGAAGTCAGCTGACACATTCTGACTACATGCCGCATGGCATTGTGTTTGTAGCTGAACACTTCCCAAAGGTACACAATACAGTTCACAGCTGCCGTAAATAGAGGACGTCAAACCAGTGTGTGTATTTCAGTATTAGGGCTATGCTTTCTTCAGGTAAGGACTGCAAACCCCAAATCCTAACTACCATAAGAATAGCAAAAACTGGGTGTGGCAATGCAATAAAGTGGCTTTAATCCCAGCACTCAGGAGGCAGAGGCAGGTGGATCTCTGTGAGCTTGATAGTCTGGTCTACAGAGTGAGTTCCAGGACAGCCTATGCAGACGGAGGGACAAGGTCAAAAGCAAAAACAAAAACGAAACATGTGGGGCGCATCTCAGAGCAACTGTGGAGCTGTGGCCCAAGAGTTATTTGTACAGTTTGGGTGTGTGAGCCTTTTCTTAAATTAGTCCAAAATCCTAAGACAAGGCTCACCTCACTGGAAAGGCCTTTCCACTCAACTAGAACCCAGTGTTCTGCTAAAGGTCAAGGAATCTCTTGGACTACCAGCCAGGACTGGGGTAGAAAGCCTGCTGTCACTCCACACAGTGATGGAGTAAGATGCCTTACCCTGCTGCCCTTTTACAAGATGCAGTGGTGATTCTCAAATACTACGATTTTATGGATCCCTGTGTCCTTGTGTTCACCAAGATCATGAAATTGGAAAAGCACTTCAGGTGCTCACTGAAAACCTCCTGATAGGTTTAAAGAGGGCCCTTTCCTGCCCCCACGCCCCGGGGTTCTACCGGTTTACTAACACTAGGTTAGAAGCCGGCTTTCCACGTGTAAGCCACATCCTAGGGAAGACACAAGATATTTGTGGGAGACCTGGAACATGATGCTGCATTAGCTCTCCTCTAAAGGACAGCGGCACGTAACTGCCACATACCAACACCCTGGTTTTAGAGATGCCTAAGATTTAAAGCCACCAAAGAAAAGGAGAATGTGAATTGGCTGCGGTTTTTACCATGAACTGAAAACTGGGGGACAAGGGGAACAATGTTGTCTCCTGGGGAGAACTTCTAACCTTTCATACTGAAGAACAGTTTGTATGTCACATTGCCACTCCAAACCCTTCCAAAAGGATGAATCAAGACCATAGCACTCAAATGGGGTTGGAAGGCAGGCGGGTGCGTGTTTGGGCCTGAAAAAAAAGATCAAGCTAGCAACCAGGACAAGTGATGCTCTCATTTTGCACACAACGCCAGAAAAATGGGAGACATCAAGACCAGAGCAGAAGGGACATGTCAAGTCACCAGCTCACCTTAACACAGCTGAGGAACCCTTCAGCTCTCAACCCATTGATTTCCGCTAGCCTTCCCGCTCATTCCGATCATCTGCAGTCCCCACACAGCCTTCCACATCCTCCTGCCCGCTACTCACAAATTCCCAACCACTCCTCCCACATTTTCCTCCGGTCCCCCTCCCCTTCCTTCACTTCTCTCCATTCTACATCACTGCCCACTCCATCCCGATCTCAGCCGTCAGCCGCAATCCTGCCGGCTTCCAAGACGCCCAGCCGTCCCTTGAGCTAGCCTGCAGCCCGGCCGGCGTCCCCGGCGCCCCTCGCTCCCACGCCTCTTCCCAGAGGCGCCCCGGCTCCCCGCCCCCCGCCCCCTCGCTCCGCACGGCTCTGCGCCGGAGCGCTGCTCCACGACAGCCCGGGAGCCGCTGCCCAGGGAGGACGAGGCTGACACCCCGCCCCGCACCCCAGGCCCATTACCGGCCCCGCCGCGGACGCCTCTCCCGTCAGGGTCTCCGCCACCCCTGCTGCCGCCTCAGCCCGTGTGCACTGAGAGAAGACCGAGGCGCGCCGGTCCCCGGGCCCGTCGCGTAGCTTCCCGGGCTGTAGGGTGTGTGGGCCGGCCGGCAGGCGGCGGGGGGCGGGCGGCTCTGCACTCGGGTACCCCGGGCAGCACAGCCGAGAACCGCCCCGGCTCCGGCTAACAATAGGCTCCGGCTGCAGCGCTCTGCTTCTTATAGGCGCCGGTGCGTCGTGGCCGGGACCTGGGGCAGCCTGGGAAATGGAGTCTACACCCGGCCCACGCCCAATGGCATGCCGGGAGTCGGAGGCGGCCAGTGCCGCAAAGCCCTAGCAAAGCCCTAGCCCGCCCTAGAACCAGCTGCAAAGGGAGCATCCACATCGGACCCCTGGAGAAAGGCACCAGGGTAGCTGCAGCCTTTTGAAAAGGAAGGCTGCCGACCTTTGGCTACACACCGGCACTAACTAAACAAATTCTCCTATAAAGCCCTCCTCCTCGCGCCATGACCTCATGCCCATGCCTGAAGAACGTAATCTTTGTCCATGGGACAGTCCCCATATGACTTGCTGCAGCGGGCCTAAATTAATCAAAGGAATTACAAAATGACCTATCTATATGATGGATTGATATACCCCACCCCCACCTTTTTTTGTTTTTGTTTTCAGACAGGGTCTCACTGTGTAGCCTTGGCTATCCTGGACCTTACTATGTAGATCAGGCTGGCCTCAAACTCACAGAGACCGCCTGCCACCCTCCTGAGCGCGCTCGGACGAAAGGTTTGTGCCACCCCTCTGCCGATTTCTCCATGTTCTTTAAAAAACAAAACAAAACAAACCTTTTTACTATCATCTCTGATAATCTTAGCTTTGTAGCTCATCTTTAAAATGGGCAAGATAAGGAAGGATCAAGAAATTATTTGGGGGACTTGTCAATGACCTATAGCCTTCCTTTCTTCTCCTGTTTCTTCGTTGACCTATAAAGTCAAGATCTAGGTCCATCCTGTGGTTTCCGTCTGATAATCTCTCAACCTATTTCCTGCTACTCTTTGCCTCGACAAATTAGCTTTTCCTGTAGCTCACTCACCAACCATGCTTCTACCTTGAGCTTTTTGCCTTAATGGTCTTATGTCAACCAATCATATGCAGGTTCATTTAGTAACTATTCAAATGTCTCCCTATTAGGTCTCTCTCATACACACACCGTTTTTCTTTCGAATAAGGTCTATATAGCTCAAGATGACTTTGAATTCTCTCCCCTACCCCCAAGATAGGGTTAACAGTCCCAGCTGTCCTGGAACTAGCTCTGTAGATCAGGCTGGCCTTGAACTCGCAGAGATCCACCTGCCTCTGCCATCACCGCCAACTCAGCTTTGAATTTTTTTAAAAAAAGTTTTTATTTGTATTTTATGTACACTGGTGTTCTGCCATACATGCAGTATGCCTGTGAGAGGTGTCAGAATCCCTGCAACAGGAGTTACAGGCAGTTGTGAGCTCCCATGTGGGTACTGGAACTTGGACCCGGGTCCTCTGGAAGAGCAGCCAGCACTTCCAACCACTCTCCAGCCCCTAGCTTTGAATTCTTAATGATCCTGCTTCATCTTCTTGAGTGCTGGAATCATAGCCATAATTAGAAACAACAGCTTCTCCTGGTCTCTTTCTCTTATTTCTCTGGCATCACTACTGATTTTTTTTTTTAAGTCTTCCATCACTTGACTAGACTTCATGAGACTAAGGAGTTGTTAATGTACTTTATTCTCAATACCGGGTTTTAAAATAATCTGCTTCCTTGATGTTGAGGAGCACAGACGGATGACGGGATTAAATTGCCTGTAGGTGTGTATGGTGGTTCTAACTGCTAGTGCAGTCTCCATGTAGCCAAGAAACCATGAAGCCAGCTCTAATGGCTACCAAACTATTAAAAAAAAGTGCCGTGAATTCTGATTTTCTTCCCTAGGTGACATCAGAGACTTTAAAGTTGTCTAGGAAGGGGACAACAGCCCAGGAGGGAAAAGAGCAGATCATAAAAGTGTCTTTAGGACAGCAAGCACCGATCATCCACCTACCTGCTTGAAACTCAGAGGACACATGATGAAAACCTCTCTACCTTAACACTCACATGGTGGCTTACACCTGAAACTCCATCCAGCTCCAAGGGATTGAATGCCCTGGCCTTTGCAGGCACCTGCACTCTTGTGCACATACCCACATGCACGAGACTGTGTGCCTGTGTGTTCACTCACACACACACACACACACCTATATGTAGTTAAAATAAAAATGAATCTTTAAAAAAAATCTCAGCTGGATGATGGTAGCTCATGCCTTTAATCCCTGCACTTGGGTGGCAGAGTTTGAGGTCAGCCTGGTCTACATAATGAGTTCCAAGTCAGCCACAACTATATAGTAGAAGCCTACCTAAATTAATTAATAATTAATTAAAAGTCATTTACAGGAAAGGAAGGCCGGGGAGATAGCTGTCAGTGAAGTGCTTGCTGTAAAAGGAGAGATGTGTGCCACCATGCCCAGATAAATGGTTTCTTAATCATTTACATGAACATTCTCTTTTTAAAATATACTTTAGATTGGGCGCTGGTGGCACACGCCTTTTATCCCAGCACTCGGGAGGCAGAGGCAGGCGGATCTCTGTGACTTTGAGACCAGCCTGGTCTACAAGAGCGAGTTCCAGGACAGGCTCCAAAGCTACAGAGAAACCCTGTCTCGAAAAACCAAAGCGCCCTATAATGACCCACTTCTCCCTTTTATTTCCCAGTAAGTCCTGTTTCACTATTATGTTTTTATACATATATTTCTAAAAGGATCCCATTCTATTTTTTTTCTTTTTCCTGAGACAGTGTTTCTCTGTAGCTTTGGAGCCTGTCCTGGAACTAACTCTAGTACATCAGGCTGGCCTCTAACTCAGAGATCTGCCTGCCTCTGCCTCCCAAGTGCTGGGATTAAAGGTGTGCACCACCACCAGGTCTTCCCATTCTATTTCAAGAGAAAAATACAGACAATATTGAGTCAAATAGGATATGATTTCATTTTTCACATTCTCATTTGAATGGGATGTTTAAACTTTAATATATAATCATCCGTCACATAAACCTAAAATCCCCCCCCCCCCCTTTAAAGCAGGGCATCACTGGAGCACAGAATGACCTCAAACACTGGCTGCACTCGAACTTTCGCCCTTCTGGCTCCATCCCCAAGCGCTAGGAGAACAAGTATGTCTGCCTGGTTGTAGGACTGGATGCAGAGCTTCCTGGAGTTCCTGTTTTACCTCCAGCCACCATCAAATCTTGCTTCAAGAATATATCTGAGATGTGTGCAAACATGTATGAAGGAAATCTTTTCAAATGTGTTTAACTTAAATGGCATCCTGAATATACTCCTAAGAAAACTCAACATCCCACTCAGAATTAGAGGCAGTTTACTTAGGAGAGAGGGACCCACAACAATAGAGATGAATTACAGAGCTGGGAAGTAGGTGCTCAGGAGCATGGAGAAGTCACTCTGCAAAACAATAATATAGAACTAGCGATTCTAGTATAGAAAGACGTTCAAGATGTTAAATACTAAAGCTAAATCATGGATTATTAGAGTCTCTGAGATTTATATATGTGCATAAATGTGTTGAGGACAATTTTCTTGTAATGAATGATTTTATTTTATTTTTTAATTTTGAGATAAGGTCTCTGTGACTTGAATGAGAATGGTCTCCACAGGCATGTATGTTTGTTTAGTCCCCAGTCAACAGAACTGTTTGGGAAGGATGAGGAGGTGTGGCCTTATTGGAGGAGCTGTGTCTCTGGGGGCAGACTTTGAGGTTTCAAAAGTCTACACCATTCACAGTTAGCTCTCTCTCAGTGCTTCCTGCTTGGGGATTGGATGAAAGCTCTGAACTATGGTTCCAGCCCCATGTCTGCCTGCCTTTGCCACGTTCCCTGCCATGATGGCCATGAACTTTAACCCTCTGGAACAGTAAGGCCCCAAATTAAAGACTTTCTTTTACAAGTTGTCCTGGCCATGATGTTTTGCCATGGCAATAAAAGAAAGTTAAGGCAGTCCAACAACAGCCTTGTGCCTCTGTTTCCTGAGTGTTGAGATGAGAAAACCACCCACAGTCTTTAGAGCAGAACTAGGAGAAAAGAAAAAGTTATAATCTTATTATCCATATTTATAATTGTAAATATGACTTTTACAATGGAAAAGCTAACTGAAATTTCTCATTTAACTGAAAAGGTCAATAATGGAATATTGTAATTTTGTAAGTAATCACAACGTTCTATCACTAAGCCTTATCAGTTACACAGCAAGGCATAGCAATACCTTGGAAAGTAGGAGGGGCCGCTTGTTTGTCCCTGCTGCCCAGAACCAAAATAACCACACAGAAATTGCATTAATTAAATCACTGCTTGTCCCATTAGCTCTAACTTCTTATTGGCTAACTCTTACATCTTAATTTAACCCATTTCTATTAATCTGAATATCATCACAAGGTCGTGGTCTACCAGCAAAGTTCCAGCACGTATATCTCTGGAGGCCCATCCATGGTGTCTCTCGACTCCACCCTTCTCCCAGCATTCAGTTTAGTTTTCCCCACCTACCTAAGTTCTGCCCGACAAACAGGCCAAGGCAGTTTTTTTATTCATTAACCAAGAAAAGCAACACAGAGACAGATGGACTTCCCACACCATTGGAAGGGGGATTTAAAAAAGCCCAAGGGAGTTTCTGGTCTTAAGAGATCTGTTCCAGGTGTGACACCGGGGATGAACCCCAGAATATGGGCAGAAGAGATAGAGTCAATGCAAGTTCCAAACCATTCAAAGTCTACAGTCGCAGTTCCAGGCTATCTTAGCCTCAAGAAACAAAACAAACCGGGCGGTGGGAAGAGTCCAAAGTTAGAGAAACCCTGTCTCAAAACACCAAAAATAAAATCTAAAACTACAGTAGTAAATAAATTCACTTCTATAATTTTGAAGACTACTCCAATAAAAACTAACTTCAAATAAAAATTAGAACACATAAATTAAGACTGTTAATAGAATTATATTCATCTGTACTTCACAAAAATATGAGAATCATGAATTTGGAAGGAACCTTAAGTTACCAGTTCAAGTTCAGGCAAGGTGTCAACATCTTTAGTCTCAGCTTGTGTGAGGCTGAGGCACAAGTTCGGGAGCAGCCTGGGCTGTATATCGAGTGTGTCACTGGAGTCACCCACCTAGTTCAGCTCTTCCACTCACCATCCTGACAGGGTTGGGATTGACTGGGAACCAGCCCCCCATAACACAACTAGAAATGTCCCCTCAATGTTTTGCATCAATGTTAGTAATTTTCAGGTTTCAAGGTTTTAAACTTGTTTCAAACCAGAAGAAATTAGAAACCACATTACAGGTTGATTTTAATGAACAACAAAACACTGTGTGTGTATATATAATCTTTATCAAATGCTTCAAAAACACACACACATAAATTCAAATCCAATATAGAATCTTTTGACATTATCTTTGTTCATCTCAACAAAATTTGAGGAAATTTCTGGATAAAACTTTGTATATGGCCAGGTGGTGATGATGTATGCCTTTAATCTAAGCACTGGAGGCAGAGGCAGGGGGATCTCAGTGTGGGCCAGCCTGGTCTACAGAGTGAATTTCAGGACAGCCAGGATTATGCAGAGAAACCCTGTCTCAAAAAACAAAACAAAACAAAAAGACCCCTAATACTTTACAATTCTGCACATGCACAAAGACATGGTCATTTGGAAGGCAGAACAGAGACACAGCAGGATTTTGAATGGGAAAAGAATGTATTTTTTGTAAAGCTTACATAAAAGAACACTATGCCAAAATAAAACAGGGGAGGAAAAAGTGAGGCTGGAATAGCTCATTTATATACACAAAGAGTACCCCAATCAAGAACAAGGAGCTCCGAGAGTCAGAGACACTCTGGCCTCTCCCGCCTCCGGCTCTGTGCTTGAGGTTCGTGGTCACAGGCACCTGTCTGGTTTTCAGGTCTTGATTATCATTACTTAGGGATGTTCTCCCTTCTTGACTGACTAACTCATCGGTTTCCACAGAGCCCTAGTAAAAAATGATGGTGAGCACAGGCAACAAAGAGTGGCACTTGGTGGGATGGGACATCAGACGACAGGGCCCAAGAGCGTCATTGCCAGCTGCCTGTCCCCCAGCAAGCTCCACCACTTTTCCACATTTCCTCATCTTCAGTTAGGGGTCACTTTTCCCCTAGTTATTATGAGTTTATGAAGAGGATGAAAACAAGATCATCCATCTATAGAATTTATCACTCTGCCCACCCCAATAAATATTAGCTAAAATCACCCTCAGTTGTGGTATTGCAGGTGAACAAAATATAAATCCTGAGACTCTGTCCTAACATAAAGGGAAGGGCCTGCTGCAGCTTAGCTGGAGTACTTGCCTAGCACTGTGAGGCTCTGGTTCAAGCCCAGCACTGCAGAAACAGGGAAGGTGGCAAATGCTTATAATCCCAGCACTTGAGAGTAGACGCAAGAACATGGACCACTGTCCCCCACTCCACAAAACAAACAAACAACACGTGAACAAAGCAGAGCTAATATATGCTCGATACAAAAGAGACTGATAACCTAAGTTCCACGAATACACATGTTCACGTTTATATTAGAAGAATGGCAGGGAGGTGGTGATGCACGCCTTTAAATCTTAACACTCAGGCAGGCAGATCTCTGGAGTTTGAGGCCAGCTTGGTCTACAGAGAAAGTTCCAGGACAAAGAGCTGTTATACAGAGGAACCCTGTCTCAAAAAACAAAACAAAACAAAAAAAAAACAAAAAAAGAAAAATGACAAGAGCTCTATATCACAAGATTAAACTCTTTCCATTAAACGTCACACCATTCCCCTGCCCTCTACACCCTAATGGTGGAAGTTCATATTGGTATCCAACAAGGACCAGAACTAAGCAGATTGCTGCTCAACTCCATGTCTGGCAGGATCTGAGGGTGCCATACTGCTTGGGCCAATACAGGGGGCTGGAATTCCATTTTAGGGCCTGGTCACCCAGCATGCCCCTGCCCAACATTCACGTAGGCTGGGTTCCAGAAGACCTTCAATGTCTGATCATGTCCCCTTCAAAGGGCAGTCGTCAAGAGGACGGAAGCAGCAGCCAGCAAATGTGGAATGCTCCTTCTACTTCAGAATGATGTGATAGCTATCACTGGTTTCTGCTGTAAAAAAGATGGGAAAGAGGAGTAAGTTTTGTTTGTCTCTTTGTTTTTTTTTTTTTTTTGTTTTTGTGACAGGGTTTCTCTGTGTAGCCCTGGCAGTCCCGGAACTCACTCTGTAGACCAGACTGGCCTCAAACTCACCGAGATCCACCTACCTCTGCCTCCAGAGTGCTGGGATTAAAGGTGTGTCAAACCACTGCCTAGCGAGAAGGGGTGATCTTTAGCCACCTTTAGAAGGAAGAAAACTATCTTGTGGGAGAGAATACAGAGTCAAATCGGATGGCCAGGTGTGGTGGCACAGACCTTGGTCCCCACTCTGCAGGAGGCAGGAGCAGGTAAAGTAAAGATATCAATCTTACACTTTTCCTGGGCCAGAGATACACAGAACTATGCTCTTACAGCGGTACACAGTGGTCAGAGATACACAGAACGATGCTCTTACAGCGGTATGCAGTGGCAACAAACAGTTTACATCAGACACACACTCACCAAGATGAAATATTGGTATTCTACAATGTACTATGTTGCAAAGCAATAATGCTAGAAAGATTAGGCCTATTAAATGCTTTACAAATATTTATAACTACACTTATTTATTTTGGGGGAGTGTGTGCCATGGCATGCATGCACTTGGAGGTCAGAGAACAATTTGTGGGAGTTGGTTCTTCTCTTTCACTACGTGAGTTTTAGAGACTGAACCCAGTCATCAGGCTGGGTGCCATCCCACGGCTCTTATACGCTTTTTATTTATTTGTTTTAAAGGGTTACTTTATTTTTTAAAGTATTTATTTATTTATTTATTTATTTTTTGGTTTTTCGAAACAGGGTTTCTTTGTAGCTTTGGAGCCTGTCCTGGAACTCCCTTTATAGACTAGGCTGGCCTCGAACTCACAGAGATCCGCCTGCCTCTGCTTCCCGAGTGCTAGGATTAAAGGCATGTGCCACCACCGCCCAACTTAAAGTTTTTATTTTTGTGTGTGTATGTGTTGCCTACATGCATGTATGTGTATCACATGTGTACCTGAAGTGCCCTCTAAGGCCAGAGAGTGTTAGACCCCCTTAAACTGTAGCCATAGGCAATTATTATCCACATAGTATGTGTGCTGGGAACCAAACCTGGGTCTTCCCCAAGAGCAATAAACACTCTTAACCTCTGAGCCACCTCTTCAGGCCCTGTTTATTTGTTTCTGAGAAAGGATCTTACATAGCCCAGGCCTGTTTCAAACTCACTACATAGAGAATAACACTGAACTCATAATTCTTTTGTCTCTACCCCCGAAGTGCTGGGATTTCAGGTCTGTGTCACTACATCTGGCTTTTAAATACTCTTTTTTTGGGGGGTGGGGTGTGACAGGGTCTTTCTACGTAGCCTTGGCTGTCCTGGAACTAACTATGTAGATGGGGCTAGCCTCAAACTCACCAAGATTGCACTGCCTTTTCTCCTGAGTGCTGGCATTAAGCATTATTGATTTTCAGCATTTTCTACTTATACTGGGCTTTCCAGGATGGGGCCTTACCATAAATGAATAAGTATGTGTAATGAAAACAACACACCTTGATTTCCTCCTTTGCTCAGGGAAGCTGTAAGAGAATGGCAGTGCTGCCAAGTATGCTTCCCTCAGTGGTGTCAGGCAGCCACAGAGAACAATAACCAAGCTTCTCTCCAAACTCTTCCCATCTCCCTCTTAGGGAGCGGGAGCGAGGTGCATGTCTCTAATCCAAGCACCAGGGAGGCTGAGTTCATAGACCACATTAAAATAAAAAAGTTTCCCTATTTTATTTCACAAAGGTAAAACATTAAAGATCTTTTTCTTGTTTAGGAACTAGAATTCATACCAAGGTCTTGTGTATGCTAAGTTAAAACCCTAGTCTGGAAACCCTTTAAAATTCCTTACAAAGGGGGCTGTGGAGCTAAGGAATAGCTGTCCTTGAGTCCCAGAACAAATATAAAAACTGTCCTGTCTGATGGTGCTCAGTGCATCTAGTCGGAGTGCTGGGAAGGTAGACACATCTTTAGTGGCAGTCAGTCTAGACTTCTTGGCAAGTTCTAAGCTAGCAAAAAAAAAACAAAATAAAAACCCAATTGAAATGGAAAGACAGCTCAGTGGTTAAGAACACTTGTTGACTTGGATTTGGTTCCCAGCACCCATATGGCAGCTCAGAACAGTTCTTAACTCCAGTTCTGAACAACACAGCCCAGCTGTTTACACATGGTACACATTACATACAATCAGGAACATACACAAAATAAATAATGCTTTTAAAGGCAGGCTAGAGAGATATTTCAGTGGTTTAAAGCAATGGCTGCTCTTCTAGAGGAATGCAGTTCAATTCCCAGGACCCATAGAGCAACTCACACATTTGTAACTCTCGTCCAGGGCATCTAAGGCCCTTCTCTGGCCTCTCAGGACACTGCATACATGTGGTGCACGGATATACATGCAGGCAAAACAGGTACACATGTAAAAATAAAACTCTAAATATAATTCTAATAGATTTGTATTAAAATAGAAAACATAAATTTAAAAAAGGTAGCTAGTGCCTAAGTAACACTACCCGAGACCGTCCTCTGGCTCAACACATGCATGCTCACCCAGATGCATGTACTCACTCTCTTATATTTATTTTGGGCTGACAATAAGGTTCAGTGGGGTAACGGTACTTGCTGCCAAATCTAATGACCTGAGTTTGGTTCCTAGAACCCACAATGTAGAATGACAGAACCAACCTCTATAGGTTGTCGTATGATCTGTGTGTGCCATGGCACATGATAACCCATCTCATACACAAGTGAACAGACAATAAGTGTTAAAGCATGTTTTAGTATTTCATTACCTTTCATTGTGTCCAGGATAAAGCAGGCTTCTTCCTGAAAGTTCTGTATCATCTGAAAAAAGCAACAAGATTTGCTGATCATTGCAGTGTTTCTTTTCATGACATTGTCCTGAAGCAGAAATTAAGCTCTTTTGTTTCTTCTGAATAGTGTAAAATTTTACGTTTATAACTAAGCTTTTGAACAGTGTAAGAATAACACTGCAGCTCTAGTTAGCTGAAAGATATCCATTAGTCAGCAAGCTTCAAATTAAAGAACAACTAACTCTGAATACTGCCTTAATATCATTTACTTTGGAAGGTATTGGCAACACCTAAAATCAATTAAAAAATTTTTCAAAATAAATCATAACTTTACAAACTAGTCTATTTTTAAGCTAAAACAGCTTTACCTGAGCCTTCTTCCAAAATCAATAGCAAAAGAAATAAAGCATTTGGAAAATGTGGTGCTGAACAAGTCATGGTAGGAGGTAAATGTACTTAACTTCCACCTCAAGTCAGACCACTTTCTGTCCCACAGCCCTGAAGAAAGACAAAGGGCATCCTTTAAGCACTCCAGAGCAGCAGCTGCCTAAGCAAGCTCTATCAGCTGACCGTGGACACCTCAGAAGGGTTTGGGGAGCATGACCAAAGGAGCCAGATTCCTTTTTTTAGAAAGAATTATTTATTTTACATGGCTGATCATTTTTCCTGTATCTTTGTCTGTGAACCACATGCATGCCTGACCCCTGCAGAGGTCAGAAGCAGGTATCAGATCCCTTGGAAGTGGAGTAGCAGTAGGTTGTGAGTCAACATCTGAGTGCCCAGAACTGAACTTACATTCTCTCACAGAGCAACGAAAGCTCTAAACCACTGAGCCCCCTCTCCAGCCTCTGTCCAGACTCCACCTTTGATGCAAAGTGAAGTGGCCCCTCAAGCGGTACTGCTGCCCGCAGCCCTGCTCCCGCGCTGTGCTACCACTACAGACACCTTTTCTCTAGACGTTCAGTGTCCAGGGAGCTCCGATGATGCAATGAGGTCAGCAGTTTCCAGGAGCTGAAAATGAACCCTTTCTACAGGAGAATCACAAATCCAGAGCTGTTTGAGCTGCAGAGTGAAACTGTCTCAAAAAGCAAAAGAGGGCAGACTCCAGTCCTACCATGTTTGTCTACCATGCCTGTCCTGGCCTCTAGGCTCAACTCCAGCATTTCAAAAGACAAGAACAAAGACACTCCTTTATTTTCCTTTATTTTTTCTCTCCTGAGACAGAGTTTCTCTGTGTAACTCACTCTGTAGACCAGGCTGGCCTCACTTAGGGATCCTCATGCCTCTATCTCCAGAGAACTGGAATTAAAGGCTAAAACACTCCTTTACAATTTCTGTGATCCTATCACAAGGTTCGTTTACAAGATGTTGAATTAAGGAGCGGCAGCAGGGCTGCTTCCCCAACACCCCGGCCACTTGGCTAGCTTATGCCCGAAATAACAACACACAAACTGTATTCATTTAAACACCACTTGGCCCGGCTAGTTCCAGCTTCTTATTGGCTAGCTCTAACATATTGTTCTAACCCATTTCTAATAATGTGTGTAAGCACCCCAAGGTGCGCTTACCGGGAAGATTCTAACCTATGTCCATCTTGGGTTGGAGCTTCATCGCGTGTGCCTCAGAGAGCAGAGCTATTGGGAGAGCAGAGCATGGCGTCTCTGCTTCAGAGAGCAGAGCTGTCGGGTCTCTCCGGGAGCAGAGCAGAGTCTGCCTCACTTCCTCTTCTTCCCAGAATTCTATTCTGTTTACTCCTCCCACCTATGCTTTAACCTATAAGGGCCAGCCAAGCAGTTTCTTTATTGCTCAATGACCTTCCTCCATCAACAAGAGAGGCTCTTAACTCCATGACAAAATGTGGCCAGGCCCAGCTTTATGCAGAAACCACAGCTGCTGAGAGCTCTAGGGTGTAAGACCTTGTCATAAAAGCTGGGTTTTGATAAGTTCCTCCTGGAGGCCATCTAGAACAATGGTTTGTAACGTGAACCCCAAGATTTTGTAAGAGGTACAAGGATATTAAAAGGCTCATATAGGGGACCCAACTTTCAAATCTCCAACTTCCATATACCTTCCTCCACATGTGAGTGTCAGTGTCCAACTTGAGTGACCCCCACAATTGTCAAAAGATGGATGGCTTGATTCAGGCAGTGGTGGCGCACACCTTTAATCCTAGCACTCGGGAGGCAGAGGCAGTTGAATCTGTGAGTTCAAAGGCAGCCTAGCCTACAGAGCTAGTTCCAGGGCTGTTATACAGAGAAACCCTGACTTGAAAAAGCAAAAACTAAAACTAAACCAAAACAAAACAAAAAGATGGATGATGTTAAAACAATATTATTATATAATTTTTGGTACATAACTAAGAAATTAAAAAATAAAACTGATGTGGGAGTGTCATATCAATCTGTTGATTTCATTGGTTAAGCAATAAAGAAACTCCTTGGCCCTGATAGGTTAAAACATAGGTGGGAGGAGTAAACAGAACAGGATGCTGGGAGGAAGAGGAAGTGAGCTGAGCTCAGACTCAACAGCTCTGCTCTGGAGCAGAGACGCCATGCTCAGCTCTCCTGGGTAGACGCGATAGCTCTGCACTCAGAGACACACACGATGAAGCTCCGACCCAGGATGGACGTAGGTTAGAATCTTCCCGGTAAGCGCACCTTGGGGTGCTACAAACAATTATTAGAAATGGGCTAGTCCAGGTGCAAGAGTTAGCCGAGAAGAGGCTAGATATAATGGGCAAGCAGTGTTTAAAAAAATACAGTGTCCGTGTAATTATTTCGGGGCATAAGCTAGCAGGCGGCCGGGGTGCTGGGGACGCAGCCCTGCCGCTCCTATTGCAACATAAAACAAATTCAGTGATTCTGTTCTAGCAAAACCCCATCCATTTCCTGCCTCTAAAAGTCCAATGCACTATCCATCCCCATCTCTCAATTTAGGAAACTCAAGTTCATAGGACTTCCATCCAGAGCGGAAAGTAGGACAGAACTGATGCTGAATTCTGTGCCATTTTCACAATCCGGGGGCAGCACTCAACTACAGATTAATTAAGCAGGTATAGCATGGGCAAAGGGAATTGGTGATTTCTTCAGTATCTCTAATAGATGGATGCTAGGGCTGGGAAGAGGCCTAGCTGGTACAGAAATGGTCTAGCATGCATTAAGCACTAGGTTTGATCTCAGCACTGCACAGCTGAGCATGCTAGTGCATGCTGTAATCACAGCATTTGCAACATGGAGGCAGGAGTTCAAGATCATTCTTTTTTGTTTTGTTTTGCTTTTTCCTTTTTGAAACAGAGAAAAGCTTTAGAGCCTGTCCTGAAACAAGCTCTTGTAGACCAGGCAGGCCTTGAACTCATAGAAATCCGCCTATCTCTGCCTCCCAAGTGCTGGGGTTAAAGGTGTATGCCACCACCGCCTGGCTTCAAGATCATTCTTAAGTGTATGGTGAGTTTGAAGCCAGCCTGTCATATATGAGATTCCATCTTAAAAATTCAAAAACAGAAACCAACCACACCCCCACAAGAGATGAATGTATAATTTTTTATTTTTCTTCTCCTCTTTTGAGGTTTTAAGGATTAAATTCCATGCCTTGTACATGCTAAGCATGTTTACCTCTGTATATATACTTCAACCCTTTAACTTGATATTTTATAAATACCTACTTGTTGTTTTTCCAGAGGACCTGGGTTTAGTTCCTACCACCATTAGGCAGCTCACAACCACCTGTAACAGCAGCTCCAGAGGATTGGACACCCTCCTCTGACCACACACACACACACACACACACACACATACCATTTAAAAACAAAACAAAAACAACTCTGTGGAAGTCAGGCTAGCACATATTTATAATCCCAGCAACGGGGAAGCAGAGGTGGGAGGATTGGAAGTTTAATCCTTGGCTATTAAGGGGGTTTAAGGCTATCAAGGGGTAGGAGCAATGGTTAAGTCAGTGGTAACGTGCTTGCTGTGGCCTGTAAGGAAGGAGCCGAATTTGAATTCTTAGAACCCACATAAAGCATGTGGTACGTGCCAGGAAACCAGCAGGTCCTGGAGCTCATGACTGGCTTTACATGGGTAGTGGGGGGGGGTGTCCCGATTCAGGTCCTGACATCTGTTCAGCAACCTCTTTACCAAATAAGCCATCTCCCTAACCAAATTTTAAAATGGGGTATGTGTGTGTCTAGGAATGACATTTTTTACTCAAGTAAGAAAACTTATAATTGTTCAATGTGCAAAGGATACATAGTTTTGTGTGTGTGTGTGTACGCGCATGCGCGCCAGCATGCACATATGCATGTGTATGAGGTATATATGTATGTATGGTGTATATGAGATATATGCGCACGTGTATGACTATATAATGACACACAGAGGCCAAACTCCAACATCACTGCCCACCTCGTTTTCCTAAGGGAATCTCACGGAACCTGGAGCTCACTCCTCCATCTAGTCCCATTAGCCGGGCTGGCAGAGCCTAGGCTCCAGTGAGCCTCCTGTGCTAGGGTTATAGGCGCATGGAGGATGAGCACAGCTATCTTTAAAAAAACAAAACCAAAACATGGTGCTGGGATCTGAACTCTTATCCTCACACTTGTGCAGCAAGTACTTATAACTGCTGAGCCACCTCTCCCTCACCAGATTTTGGTTTTGTCTTTTTTTTGAGGAGGGAGGGGGAGTCACCATCTCATGTACGCCAGGTGGGCCTTGAACTTACTACATAGAGATGAACTTGTATTCATGATTTTCTTGCCTCTACTTCTCTTCGTGCTGGGGCTACAGGGGTGCATCACCACCCCCAACTTTATACATAATTTTTTAAAAATTAAGAGGTAAACAAACAACAAAATCTAAGGCGAACACAATGGTTCATGCCAATAGTCCCAGAAACCAAGGATGCTGAGGCAGGAGGATCATGTGAACCCAGAAGTTCAGGGTCTGTCGGGCCAAAATTGCAAGACCATGTCTGTTAAAATTTTTAAAAGAATTAAAATTAAAAAGTTAAACCTTTCAGTAGAAAACAGAGACCAACCCTGGCAGAGTACTCTTGGTCTTGGTGCCGTCACAAACTAGGGTACGGGAGGTAATTCAACAGGACCGAGACACTGACCTCATCACTGATGAGCACGTGGATTCCTGTTGGCCCTTGCTTGTAAATCTGGCTGATCTGGTGAGGAGAAATACTGAAAAGTTGAGCAATTTTTTCTGTTAATTCAACAGCTGTCAGTTCTTCTAGATAGATAGCATGGTACACTGCAAAAGAAAACACAGCAGTCAGTGGGAAGGCCGTCGGCACCTGCAGGTAACTGCTACTGTGGAGACCCACACATCACACAGCCGGCCTGCAGACCCTGCCTCCGCTGCCCTTTTTCAATGTGAACTAGAAGTTACTCAAAATCTAGTCCTTTCCTTTTTCTAAAGACTGGAGGAGAGAAAATCTACAGCACGGTGGACATTACTAGTTTTAACAATTCAAGCAGAGTCAGGTGGTGGCGCACAACTTTAATCTCAGTACTCGGGTAGCAGAGGCTGGTGGATCTCTGTGAGTTCGAGGCCTGCCTGGTCTACAGAGTGAATTCCAAGACACCAAGGCCACAAAGAGAAACACTGTCTCCAAAAACAAACAAAAAAGCCCAGAGACAGATATTGGGGTTCAAGCTGAAGACCAGAAAAGCAAAGCAGCCAACCACTAGAGAGACCTTTCACCTCTACCGACTCTGCAGACCGAAAGGGTGAGATCCTGTCTCCAGGAATCCTCTGTAGGCACTGCACCGAGACTGCACTGAACTTGTGCCTCATATTCCTCTCTAGTGCTGGGGTCAAAGGCGTGACCTCTGTTTCTCTATTAGACTGATTCACTCAGGGTGGCCTTCAGTTCTGGGATTAAAGGTTTGTGCCACCATTCCCTGGCCTGTATGGCTGACTAGTGTAGCTAGTTTTGTTCTCTGGTCTTCAGGCAAGTTTTATTTAATAAAATTCAAATAAATATCACTATATAAGCATATAAAAAGTACCTGGCATAGATTATGAGCTCAATAAATGTGGGCAATTGCCATTACTTCCAGAACTCTAATGCTGAACTGGTCTAAACTCCATTACATCTGCCCATGAGTCATCACTTCTTTCTTCCTACCTGTGTTGGTCTGCCTAGAACAACCTACCGAAGAAAGTACCATTGGAATCTCCTCCATCTTCCTGCTTCTGTTGTGGTGGCTGCTGCTGCTCCCTCAACTGCAATGATTCCTGACAGACATAGATGGTTAGCCGTGGACGCACCATCCTGTGAGGGGAAGAAAAGGACTGTCGGCTTTACACAGCCTTCCCATTGTAGGCACGCCTACAGGTAGGATTTGAGTCCCTACATCACTGAGCAGAGCAGAGAGGAACTCTATTAGTGCTATTTGTTTCCTTATCTGCCAGTGGTGGCTTTGTTATTTAAGTTGATTGGTTCCAACAAGAGGCACCATTTAAGCTTCTAAATTCTGCTTTCCCTGAAAAGTTAGACTTGGGGCTAGAACTGCAGCTCAGTAGTAGACTGTTGGCCTGGCTTGCTTAAGGCCCTGGGCTCTGCTCTCAGCATTGAAAGGGGAAGGGTAGAAGAGGAGCAGTAGGAAGAGAATACTAATGTTAGCTTAGACCGGGTAATTCAGGCTCCTCATTCTCCCAAGATTTCTTCACTAAACCCTGACTTTGACTATTGTTTCTTTGCATGACAATGTAGCACCTAAAGTCAACGGAGTTTTAGAGTTATGGTTAGAAATATTCAAAATGTAAGAGTCACCGTTTTATGTAAGGGTCAGGTTCTAGATATGCTCTTTACTTAAAAATACTAATATATGACGGGCAAGATGGCTCAGTTGGTAAAGGTGCTTATCACTTGAGTTTAATCCGAGATCCACAAGGTGGAAGCACAGAACTGGTTCCTGCAGTTGTCCTTTGATCTTCATATGACCTTCATATGGGAGGGGAGAGAGAGTGAGAGAGGGAGGGAGGGAGAGATAAGGAGAGGGAGGGAGAGGAAGGAAGGGAGGGAGAGAGGGAGAAAGAGAGAAGGAGAGAGGGGGAGAGAGAGGGGGAGAGAGGGAGAGGGGGCAGGATACTGCACAGTAAAGTAGATGATCTCATCTCCCTAGTGCCTGCAGCAGCCTCTCTCTCCCTCCCACTTACTCTCAGCACTTCTTCATCTGGTCACCTCGTTCTTTTCCATTTCTAAACAGTTCTTAGATAACACCCTTAAAAATAAAGGCTCTGTTACTAACTTTTAAATTCTCAATTCTATTACCTATCATATTTATTTTTGTTGCACTAGAGATTGAACCCAGGGCTTTGCACATGTGAGGCAAAGGCTTTTCCACTGAGCTACAGCCCCAGTCTTTGAAAAATCTTCTTTCCTTGGGTCACCAATCCTTGAATTTCTGACCACTAGGCCATCTCTCCAACTTCATGCTTGAATTAAAAAAGTTGTGTGTGTGTGTGGGGGGGGGGGGTGTGCCCACAGAGGCCAGAAGAGAGCTTCAGATCTCCTGGAGCTGGAGTTCTAGGTAATTGTGAACCACCCAATGTGGGTGCTGAGAACCAAACACAGGTTCTCTAGAAGAGCAGGAAACACGCTGAACTCTGAACTATCTCTCTTGCCCTTAATCCTTGAATTTTTATCTCCTTCTGTGGTGGTTTAAAAAAAAAAATGGCCCCCAAAGGGAGTGGCACTATTAGGTGTGGCCTTGTTAGAGGAAGTGTGTCAGTGTAGGGGTGGGCTTTGAGGTCTCTTGTTCAGGCTTCACTCAATGTGACACTGAGACCATTTCCTGTTGTCTGCAAGATGAGATGTAAGACTCTCAGTTACTACTCCAGCATCATGTCTGCCTGCAAACATCATATTCCCTGACATAACAATGGACTGAACCTCTCAACTGTAAGCCACCCCAAATAAATGTTTTTCCTTTATAAAAGTTGCCATGGTCATGGTGTCTCCTCACAGCAACAGAAACCCTGACTAACACACTTTCCTTTACGTTTTCCAATACTGCCAGGGTGGCAGCACACTCCTGTAACTTCAGCATCAGGAGATAAAGGAAGACCAGGAACTCAAAGCTTTATCCTCAGGTACATACAGAGGTTGAGACCAACCTGAGCCATGAGACTGTGTCTCAAAAACAAGATTTCCGAGACTACAGTCAGTTCAATGCATTATGCCTGTGAGGTATGGAGATACAAACTCTTAATAATTAATTATTCACTGATTCGATTCTGTTGTCACTGATCTAATTTTCCCCCTATCAATTATTATTACTAAGCCAAGCATGATACTACATGCCTGTAATCCCAGCACTTAAGTGGTTGGAGCTGGAAGCTCTGAGTCCAAGGCTAACTAGGCTACACAGCAAATTCAAAAAATAAATAAATAAATAAATAAATAAATAAATAAATAAATAAATAAAAAATAAGTAACATTTAAAAACGAAAAAAAATAGAGCCGGGCGCTGGTGGCGCACGCTTTTAATCCCAGCACTCGGGAGGCAGAGACAGGCGGATCTCTGTGAGTTCAAGGCCAGCTTGGTCTACAAGAGCTAGTTCCAGGACAGGCTCCAAAGCCAAGAGAAACCCTGTCTTGAAGAACAAAGAACAAACAACAACAAAAAACAACCAAACGAACAAAAACAAAAAAACAACCCCCCATCTCAAAAAGGATTGAGATGACCCTTTTTTCTTTTGAGACAGGGTCTCACACTACATAGCACACACACTCTCCACAGAGTGTCCTTTCTAACTACATCAGGATATTCTATAGACCACAAACTTGCTTTATTTTGTTCGTTTTGTTGAGACATGGTCTCTGATAGTCCAAGGTAACTTGAAGCTGCTACAAAGTCAAGGATGGCCTTGAACTCTTGGTCTTCCTGCCTCACCCTCCTAGGAACTGGAACTATAAGCTGAGCTACCTGCAGTTTGTCTGTGTTCTTTCAAAGCTCTTAGCACTACCTAAAGCATCTACTGCTTTTCTTTATGGGCACATTGTCCACAGTGTACCTCCAGAGCCTGCAACAGTACCTGTCTTCTGATAGACACTAACTATTTACTCTGAGAACTGCCTATCACAAGGAGTTATTTGGATCAAATGTAAGAAATGATATTCTATATTTATGTTTACTTGGTACATAATGTGATTTTTTAAATAAAGTTGTTTTTTCTTTTAAAAGAAATAAAACATTTCTTTAGCATGCACACATGCTGTGTGCAAGTGTGTGTCTGTGTGTTTGTAGTGGGGCACATCTCAGAGTACATGTGGAGGGTGGAGGTCAAAGGACAACTTCTGAGAACGAGTACCTTCTCCACGTGCCTTGACCTCCTTACCTATGGAATTCACTGGACCAAGACTAGAATTTTCGAGACAGGGTTTCTCTGTAGCTGTGGAGCTGTCCTGGAACTAGCTCTTGTAGACCAGAGTAGTCTCGAACTCACAGAGATCTGCCTGCCTCTGCTTCCTGAGTGCTGGGAATAAAGGCGTGTGCACCACCGCCTGGCTAGAACTTTTTTTTTTTTTTTTAAGTTTTGACAAGACATATTTATCTGTGTAGAATGTTGTGCAAAATTCCAAAATGTAGATTCATCTGAAATCCAATCTGACTGGTATCTTAACCACTGGCATCTTAGAACACATACCGGCCTTTTAATGCATTAAAAAGTCTGATTCCATCTGCAGGGCCGCAGATTTGGATCACATCATCTCTAGTTAGTTTCAATAAATCTGCCCCTGGAATAAATACGGGACAAAAAGGTTAATAATAAAGGCAAAAATTACTTTCGTAAGTGACTTTTAAAGTGGGTTCTACTTTGAGGACACCTCATCAGCAGTCCGTTAGAGTCTTCTGCAGTGGACAAAGCCCTTGTGACCTGACCTCTGCCTCATCTTCTCTCTTAATCCTCATCCAATTAACTTTTCCACTTAACCCTACGCTTTGACAAGACAGGGTGCTGAATGGGCCGGTTGCTTTTTCTGTTGGAAACACCTTCCACAGTAAGACAGACTCAGACCCGCCCCTCCCAGCATCACCTCACACACTGCTGCGCTAGTACTTATCTAGTAGGTTCCATTTGGATTTTTCTTTTACACAGATGATGAAAGAGTACTCTCATCACTACATCTTACCAACTATATGTTCCTACACAGATGCGCAGAGGCCCCTTGATAAGGTATTACACGGAATACACATTTAAAAAATGCTATATAGAATAAACATTTTATGGTTTAAATGAGTTCAAACTGAAAGCTGCTTATTTTTTTAATTATTTATTTTTGTGTGCATTGATGTTTTGCCTGCATTTTAAGTCTGTGTATGGGTGCCTGGTCCCTTGGAACTACAGACAGTTGTGAACTGCCATGTGGGTGCTGGGAATTGAACCCAAGTCCTCTGGAAGAGCAGCCAGGGTTCTTAACCACTGTGCCTTCTCTCCAGCCCCGAAGCTGCTTCTTTTTAAGAGTCTCCCTGTACAATTGCAGCCAATTCAAAGTGTTTGATGAAATTCATTTTATCAGAAAAAGACTGAGACACTGCTACACACCATGTGGACACCAAAAGGCCCGATGATGCACATGAGTACCCCATGCTGGAGAAGGCAAAAGGAAAAACTAATCTAACCTGAGAAGTTGGTGAAGAGCCTGGTGAATGTGGAAAACCGGTTTCGATGCAACCACTGTTGGGCTTCCTGAGGCGTGGTTGTTGGCAAGAGGTTCTGAAAGAGAATGCATTCTTTTGTATCTGAATAGTTCACCTGATACCCCATTAGATAAAAAAAAAATCACTTCTGCACCCTACAACCACACAGGTAGTGTCTGGAAACTGTTTCTATCACACAGGGTCTTCTCTAACCATGACAGAGATATTTCACTATCAAACTATAAGATCTTCACAGTCAAGGGATCCTGTAGTGGCAGCTACATGGGAAATCACATGAGTCTACAGCTCACACTAGACCAGCCTGGGGAACACAATGAGATCCATAAGAAGAGAAGGAAAAGCAGCCATCTGGGGCAGTGTACACCTGTAATCCCAGCTCTTGCAAGGCTGAGGCAGGATGACCACTATGCATCCTAAGCCAGTCCAGGCTGCATAGTGAGTTCAAGGACAGCCCGTGATGTGCAGTCAAAGTCTGGCTAACAACAAGCAAACAAACACAACAGCTTTCAAGGTCCTGCTTGCATTTATTTTGTTTCCGGTCCCTAGGATAATTTCCAGTTGGCTGAAATTCGATAAGCGTGGGTGAGTTACAGTCTCTAGCAGGCTAGCCCACTGGCATCCGGCAATCACAGTCACCACAACAGCACTGCACATTACGATAACTGACATTGCTTTAGACTTACGTCAGTGACTGGAGGAGGTGGCTCTGGCTGGTGGTTTGGTGAGCCATTTCTAAGGAGAGACATTGAAAATGAAAGGATGAGTCCATGGTACACTCTGTAGATTACTTCATGCTTCCGTGTCATGGTGACTCTTAAGTCGAGAGCTAAAAGGATCTCTACTTTATCTGAAAACATTCTCTAACTCAGTGCTTCAGCTGTGTGCTAATTAACTCAGAAATTTCAGGGAAAGGGAGAAACTATGTCACTGAAACATTTTTTTTTATAACTGAGGAAACTAGGAAAAACATCAAAATTTCAGTAAATAGAAACTGATAGATTAAATTATGGCATACTAAATATCTACAAGGGGCTAGAGATACAGTCAGCAGTACAGCGTCTCCTAGGCTGCATAAGCTCTGAGCTCCACACAGGGAAAACACTGGCTATAAAAGTCCTAGTGCTGCACCGCCATAACTATGCATCACTGTATTAACCCTATCAGCAGCCACACACAACACAGAAGAATCAGAAGAAACTGTATGCTATGACCATACACGGGGCTGGGCAGGGTGACCCGCGCCTTAAATCTTGGCACTCAGGCGGCAGAGGCGGTGGATCTCTGAGTTCAAGGAAAGCCTAATCTACATAGCCAGTTCCAGGTCAGCCAAGGCTAAGTGAGACCCTGCTCAAAAAATCTAAATACAAACAAACAAAAGCAACAACAACAAAGTAACTATTTTGCTGTCCTGGGGTTGAAGCCAGTTCCTTCTTTGCACATGCTAGCAATTGCTATCCCACCGCACTACCTCAGTTCTTCAAAACAATGATTTTTCTGAGCTACCATGTGGGTGCTAAGAACTGAACTAAGTCCTTTCAGAAAAACAGCCAGTGCTCTGAACTGCTGAGTCATCTCTCTAGCCCCTATTGGTTAGTTTTTAAATGTTGGTTAATTATCGTTGCTGTATGTATATGCTGCTGGGTGGTGCAGGTGCGAGGACAGTCCTGTGGAGTCGGTTCTCCTTCCATCTTTACGTGGGTTCTGAGGATCAAGGACTGCCGGGCTTGAGAGGCAAGAACTGTTCGCTCAGGGCTATCTTGCTGGTCCAATTCATTTTTAGATCTACTTACTTACTCACCTGCCCACCCGTCCATCCATCCGTGAGAGTGAGTGTGTGTCTGTAAGAGTATACCCGAAAATCCGTGTCAGTGTGTATACCTAATAATCTACCTACCCATCCATCTGTGAGAGTGTGTGTGTCTGTGAAAGTATACGCAAAGATCTGTGTCAGTATGTATATCTAATCATCTACCTACTTACTTATCCATCCATCCATCCATCCATCCATCCATCCATCCATCCATCCGTGAGTGTGTATGAGTGTGCATGTGTGTGTCTGTGAGAGTATATTCAAAGATCTGTGTCAGTGTGAATACCTAATTATCTACCTACCCATCCATCCATCCATCCATCCATCCATCCATCCATCCATCCATCTGTGAGTGTGTATGAGTGTGTTTGTGAGAGTATATTCAAATATCCATGTCAGTGTGTATACCTAATTATCCATCCATCCATCCATCCATCCATCCATCCATCCATCCATCTACCTGTGAGTGTGTGTGTCTGTGAAAGTATACTCAAAGATCTATGTCAGTGTGTATACCTAATTATCTACCTATCCATCCATCCATCCATCCATCCATCCATCCACCTGTGAGTGTGTGTGTGTCTGTGAAAGTATACTCAAAGATCCGTGTCAGTGCATATACATAAATGTGGAAGCCAGAAGAGAGCACTGGTGAAGCTAAATTATAGGAGTTTGTGAGATGTCTAGCTGAGTTCATGGGTGTAGCTTCTAAACTCTGATTCTCACGACTGAGAAGCAAGCACTCTCACCTACTGAACCATATCTCTGGCTCCCCAATCCATTATAAAGTTGATTCAAAATTAGTGCTAATTTGTCATTCAACATTTATCTTCACAGTTCGTTTCTCTTATAGTTTCTTTTGCTTAATATTTATTTTCTTTATGAGAGAAAAAGTTGAGGAGAAAAAAATGTAAAACTCAACCCTTAAACTGCAGGTATTTTAAACTGCCTCCAAGTGCACAGCATCATGCCCTAAAGGATAATAATTTATTTCAAGAGCTCCTCTTGTCAAGATGTAGTGGTGCACATCTGTAGTCAGCTACCTGAGAGGCTGAGGCAGGAGGATGGTTGGCTCCAGGAGTTCAAGGCCAGCTTATAAACACAGCGAAGACCACCATATACGAACAGACAAAAAATGAAACATAGTAAAGCAACGGCAGCTCATGCCTATAACCCCAAGATTAGGGAGTCGGGCAGCAGGACTGCTGTGAACGTAGGGCTAGCCTGGCTATATAATGATTCAAGGCCAGCCTGAAATAGTATACAGCAAGACCCTGTCTTAAACAAACAAATCCCCTTTTCTTCTTCATTTCTGTCATAGTTATTCAAACAGTAATGACATCGGGGCTTTAGACATGTATTCCTTTTTTAACTAATACCAAAAAGAGTAACTGTTATATTCAAATATTTAAGCTACTTTTTTAAAATCTTTTAAGAAGTAGGTTAAATACAGTATAAACAAATCAAAATCCAAACTGAAACATCACAGCCCAACAGTTTGTTCCTTTTTTTATATGCTTGTGGTTGTTGTTGTTTTCTTCTTCTATATGCTTCTTAATTGTGATACTGAAGATCAAACCCAAGGCCTAATGCATGTCAGCCAAATGCCCTGCTATTGAGTAACCTCAGGCCTCATGACGATTCTTAAAACAAGAAAAAAAAATGTCTATACAACCGTGCTTCTAATTCCCAGGCCCACTCTCTGGGGCAAGTCTGAAAAGGAAAGGGAACAAACACAAAACAAACAAAATAAGGTTCATCAAAAAACCAAAACCAAAATCTCCCATAGAAGTCACTTGATACTATCTGATACTACCTGACACTGACACCATGTGATGTCACCTGACACCGTCTGATGTTACCTGACACCCTCTGATGTCACCTGACACCGTCTGATGCTACCTGACACCCTCTGATGTTACCTGGTACTGACTGATGCTACCTGACACTGTCTGATGGTACCTGACACCTTCTAATGCTACCTGATACCATCTGATGTGACCTGACACCATCTGATGCTACCTGACACTTTCTGATGTTACCTGACACTGTCTGATGGTACCTGACACGTTCTGATGCTACCTGATACCATCTGATGTGACCTGACACGATCTGATGCTACCTGATACCATCTGATGTGACCTGACACCATCTGATGCTACCTGACACCTTTTGGTGTTACCTGACACCATCTGATGTTACCTGACACCTTTTGGTGTTACCTGACACCATCTGGTGTTACCTGACTGACTGATGTTACCTGACACCATCTGATGCTATCTGACACCTTTTGATGTTACCTGACTGACTGATGTTACCTGACACCATCTGAGGGGAAAAGTTCTTAGATAAAACTCCATCTCTTCAGGAGAGTCCAAACCTTAACCAGTACAAAAATTGGTCAAAGAATGACCAAATAAAAGCACTTATTAATTTGGAAAGAACTTGATGATGGAAATGTAATAAAATAATACATATTTAATTCAAATATAACCCAAATTCATTTCTTAGACTTACCCTTCCCCAAGAGAGAAACTGCTATGGGAACTGTTGAAGCCAGGTGATGGGGAATTGTTGACATAGGTGATCTCAGGCCATGGGGAACACTGAACAAAGGAGAATATGGGGAACAAGAAAGGATGCTCTGTCAGTCAGTGCTCCCCGAAACACTCTCACTTCACTAGCACACCTTCATCAGTCAAGAAAATATGTGCAGGACCAAGTTTAGACTAGGCTGGAAAGGAATATATACATATATATGCTTTTTAACTTATTTTTTCTTTTGTGAATGACACTTATAAGAATGGAGATGCAGCTCGGTAATAGAGAGCTTGCCTAACATACACAAGGCCCTAGGTCTGATCCCAGGCCCACAGAATGAATGAATGAATAAGAATAAAAATTATGAACTGAAAAGTCCTTTTACCTCTGTGAGTATGGTTGTTTCATAGGAAGGTTGATATTTCTCTTTTTCATGGGGTGTTCGTTTCTCCATTTTCTCTCTATCAGTTTTTTGTTTTCTGTCTGCACCTTTAGGCTGAAATGAGAAATAAGTTGCTTTAAATTCAAGTAATCACACTTTGACCCAGAAATCATACTTTAAAACTCTTAAATACTCACAAATAAAACAAACGTGTGAGCACAGTATTGTAAAGACTCTGTGCATCACCCTCACTGTCTGAAAATAGGATATTTAAATGTTTGATGCAGTTGGAAAATTTGATAGAAAGACCGCTAAAATACATAGCTAACTGAAAAAAAAATAAAGTCTCAAAACCACGCATACAGTATACTCCCACTTACGTTTCCAAGATGAGAAAATATGTGTACCTATGCATAAACGTTCATTAAAGAACAGAAGGGACCGGACATGTATAACAAACTGTGACAATGGTAACCTCTGGAGAGAGGTTACAGGCTCGGGAAGAGTAAGTGAGGGAGGTTACAGTGCAGTGTCCCATGTAGTTTAGATCACCGTCTCACTGCCGCCCTTCCCTCCCTCCCAGCTTCCTTCTTGATTTTTTGAGATAGAAACTTGCTATATCATACTCGTAGTTCACCTGACCTTGATATGTAACCCAGGTTGGTATTGATTATAGCAATCTTGACTCGGGCTTGCAAGGGCTAAGACTATAGGTGTGAGCCACTACACTAGGCCTGAATTTCTTGCAATAAGAATGTATTTACTCATATGATAAAAACAAAGCAGGGAATGGTGGTACACACCTATAGTCCCAGTACTTAGAGGCAGAAACAGAAGTATCGGGAGTTCAAGGACATCCTTGGCTACTTAGCAAATCTGAGGTCACTGTAGGCTACCTTAAAACATATTTTTGCCTTATGACTGCCTCAAAGCAACAAAAATAATAAATAGCAGAAACACAAACTATTCATGTTCCTAAATCAATCAACTCTGCATGATTTCCAAGACACAGAAAAGCTTACAAGTCAACAGGCTTTAATGACTTTGCCAGCTTTGCCTGCCGCCTGCTTTACACATTCTTGTTCCCCACCCCCACCCCATGTAAACAACTGTAAGTGTTTCAGAGCTTGTCTTAGCACCTAGTGCAGACAGTTTGTGATTCTGAAAAAAGGCAAGTTGGCACATCATGTTAAAATGGAATGATAAAGAAAAGGGCGTTAGCTGGGCATGGCGGCACATACCTTTAATCTCAGCAGAAGCAGGCAGATCTCTGAGTTTGAGAACAACCTGATCTACAGAGTGAGTTCCAGAACAGCCAGGGCTACATAGAGAAACCCTGTCTCAACACCCCACCCCAAAGAGGTTTAAGGCCAGTGCATGGTTCAGGATACCTTGAAGACTTTGATCTGGCAGCTGGCTGAGTGCAAGTGCTCAGTGTATTCCCCATTCTCATTTTCCTTGAAGGTATCAATTTGTACTCGGAATGGCACCCCCTTCTCTCCACCATGCTTCCTCATAGTGAACTCTGTGCTGATGCAGTGCACCTGGAAGGAAGTGACACCATGGCTCCAGTGCCACTAGCCAAACTAGTCAGCTACGCCTGGAGCAACTAACAGAGGCAAAACTTTTAATAGACATTTATCAATATATATTAAGTTCTTTCCATCTTTTACAGTCTAATGAAGGAAATTAGAAACATATTAGTAATTTACAAATGTAAGCAAGTAAATTTACAAACCTAATGCCATCAAAGACCCTGTCTCAAAAAAACTAAACAACAAGAAAGGCTGCTTGAGGAACTTATTGTATTAATTCCTCTGAGAACACTGAGCTACCAAAACGTTAGTGAACTTTCATCTAGATTTAAAAAGGAGGCACAATCAGGCTTGGAAAACAGTAAATACGAAAGCTCTGACAGAATAGGGAAGATCTGCTTGGCTCCTGCTGACCACTCACTGGCTTGGCTCAGTTGCTTACTCAAGCTAGGCCTCAGAGTCTATTTTGGGGCTACACAGATGGTTCAGCTGTTAAGAACACACACTATTCTTACAGAGGACCCAAGTTCAGTTCCAACACCCACATTACGTGGCTCACAACTGCCTATAACTCCAGCTCTAGTGAGATCAAATGCCTCTGGCCTCTGTAAGCAAGTAAATTTACAAACCTAATGACATCAAAGACCCTGTCTCAAAAAAACTCAAACCCTTTGTGGGCACCTGCACTCATGCTCAAACCCATAAAAATAATAAAGATTATTTTTAAATATAAAATTATAAATTAAATATTTCAAAGACTCTCCTTATTCTAAAGAACTATTATTCAAAGTCTTAAAACAATGTTTACAAAGTAGTAACATAGTGATAACCTTAGTGGTAAGTAGTCAGTGAACTACTGGTTGAAATTATTACAAATAAATAAATTCTGAGGAATTAACCCAAAAGACATAATCATATATGCAAATCAAACTTTAAGTATATGTGTGTTCAAAATAACTATAGATAACAATAAAAAAACAAACAATTTACCAGTTACATAATTGTTATGTAAATTACCTACAATCAATGAATGGTATATTATGTAGACAACAACAAACATTCTAATTGCGTAAAATCAGAAGAGCAATTAAAAGACTCTTCATATTGAGATGCCTGAATCTGATAGGCTAGAACCCTGAAAAATAGGGGTACAAGTCAGTGAAAGAATGTGTGGTTAGCATGCAGAAGGCTGCAGGTTAAGTCCCCAGGATGTGTAGTACACATGCATGCACACAACTCATGTGCAAACAAGAATCTTTGTTTGTTTTGAGATGGGAGTCTCTCTATGTAGTTCTGGCTGTCCTGGATCTCGATATGTAGACCAGGCCGGTCTCAAATTCATAGAGATCTGCCAGTGTCAGAATTAAAGCATGCACCACCATGTCCACCTATAGTGTTGCTAGTTTATTGTTTGAGCTATCAGCTCACTGCCTTGGACTCACTATGCAACTTTGATCTTCCTACCTCTACTATCCAAGTGCTAAGATTAGAGGTGTGTATCACAACACCAGGTTTATGGGGTACAGGGGATCAAATCTAGGACCTCATGTATGCTAAGCAAGCACTCTACCAATTGAGCTACATTTCCAGGCCTGGTATGTTTTAGTCTTTAAAAATACAAACTGGTAGAACAGGTGCTCTTTGTAGCTGTGATGGCAACTGCAATGCCTTACCTGAATAAACACAGACGTCCTCTTCGCAGGATCCCACAGGAACTCCACTGTATTTAGTTGGGTAGGATTGGCCCTGGGATCAATTATACCCACAGACATTGGAATATCTGAGAAATATAACAGGATCACTGAACAATTCTGAGGACTCCCTGTTTTTGTTTTTAATATGGGGGTCTTGATGCACTGCCTAGGCTCAAGCAATTCTCCTGCTTCAGTCCCTTGAGAAGCTGGGACTGTAAGAATGTGTCACCACGCCTGTCCATGCCTTCCGTGGTTTGAAGTAAGAAAGCAACTGACTGTGATGGATTAAGTCTATCTACTAGCTCTAATATGAAAATTAGGAAACTTTTTGAGACTCAATCATCCTGCTTCTACCTCTTGAGAACTGGGTACAGAAACTTATAAATATTGTCAAATATAGAGACTATTTGAATGCTACTGGTAAAAAGCATTGCAGGCATTTCTGGGGAAAAAAAGATTAAAAATAGAACTGGAATATGGTCCAACACACCCACTTCTTAGTAATGAAACAGAAGCCTTGAGTGTAGTGGCTATTATTAGCAGTCTGCACTCAAGACAGTCAGGAGGGTCGTCATGAGTTCAAGGCCAGCCTGGGTTACAGGCTACAGAGTGACATCTTGCTTCAGACAAACAAGAAACCAAAGCAGAGGCTCAGACAAATATTATTATGTCCATGTGCACAGGAATGTTATTCAAAAGAGCCCAACAGTAAAAGCTGTCCGTGTCCCTCACAGGTAAGGGGTAAACAGAATGTAGTGGACACTGGATTACTCTTCTGCTTCGAAAAGAAAAGAAATTCTGACACACGTTGCAACATGGTTGAATCTTGAAAGGCTGATGCCAACTCACAGAAGCCAGTCACAAAGGACAAATACTGCATAAGGTGCCTGAAGCAGACAATGACAGGGCAGGAGAATGACTGACAGGCTGGGAATAAACAGAATGAAGAGCTACTTATGTGGAGCACAGATTTCAGTCTTGCAAGACAAAAAAAATTATGCAAATGGACAATAGTGATAATTAACAAAGTAAATGCACTTAATATTATTCAATGGTCTAAAATGGAAAAAAAAGTTTTATATTATATATGAATACATATTTTATATTACCACAGTTCAAAACAAATGCACTCTGAAACAATAGGCAAACTGCTTTGGAACTCGATGTCCATGCCCTACTCAATCCTGATGCCAACTTCACAAGTGAAGCAGTAAGCCACTTCAGGGTCCCTGCTAACTAGCCCTGAAGCACTCCATTAGGACTCAATGGGGAAGCGTAATAGGGAACCAAATCTAGACCCAAGCAGATGTTCTCCAAGCAGCAGCTTCTCTTGACTCACCTATGTCGAGAATCCTGTCTCCAGGCCGGTTCCACCTCCAGCCTTCCAGCTGCTGGTGCTCGGTGTACTGCAGACGCCTGTCGTGGAACACTACACGAAATATGCTCTAAAAGAAGGACAATGTCAGTCCACAGGAGTCTAGAAAACCAGTCCAGACAAAAGAAAACTAGCGGAGTTAATGCTAGCTGGCTAGACACAATCTAGCGTTTCCTGTGCCTTTCTGAAGACGTCCAAGCTGTCTGTGTGAGTCTTAGACGCGCTCACATATGACCTCTGTGTTGCTTCAGGTGAGGATTAGAAGCCATATAGCCCAGACTGGCATCAGATTTTCCATTTTAAGCCATAAACATGGATGTTTATCTGTATGTGTGCATGGGTGGGTGTACAAGTGTGCATCTGGGGATGTACCACAGTACTTATGTGTAGCAGACAAAATGAGGGAGGGAGTTTCTTCTCTCCTTCCACCAAGTGAGTCCTGGGAATCAAACTCAGGGTGGCATGTCTGGCAGCAAGTACTTTTACATAGTAAGCCATGTCTCTAGCCCTGGCACCAGACTCTTGATCCTCCTTCCTCAGCCTCCCAAATGCTGGGGTCATACATCATCTTTACAGTTAACTGAGAATACACTCTTAAGTGAAGATGAGAGGGTCTCACTGTGACACAGCCCAGTATAGCCCTGGACTCCTATACCACCAGAACCATTATGTGAAGTACTTTTTCTTTTTGTAATGCTTATTACATTTCCCTCTTTCTTTCCTTACACCACATAGGTGCCAAGGACAGAATTCAAGTATTCTACCCTTGGCAGCAAGTATTTTCACCTGTTGAGCCATCCTGCTAGCCTTATGAAGCATTTCTATCACATCACATAATCCAGCCTAAGCCTCCAGGTAGGCATGAAATACATACTAGGACCCACTCACCAATCCTACATACAGCCTATAAACACTGAGGGTCGATAGGCTACTCCTGGCTATGTTCCTTATACTAGCCTCCCTTTGTGGAGGTAGCTGCCAGCCTCCCCACATATCTTACAGGCGCTGATAAAACTCCTGTACCAAGTGCTGTGAGTTCCCCAAATTCTTACCGTCAGTTGACAAAGAGAACTCTATTCATTAACAGTAGCTCTGGGGTATTGGTTCTGTTTTAAATTTTTTATTTTATGGACAAAAAGTGTGCAGGTCTCCTTCACTGGGTAGGTAGTCCTGGATGATGCATTCAATTTAGTGAAGTCAATATCCTTTCGTACTTCTGGAAACACTGTGACCCATGTGCTGCCCTAATCTTCAGGTCAGATCACACAGGTCTGAGCACACAAGTCAAAAGTGAGGACCCTGATACACACAAAATTCTTTAAAATTAAAATCCTCAAGAAGCTGATTTTACCACCCAAAAACAACTCCAGTAGGAATCTCTCCTGAACAAGGACTTGCAATTGCAAGCCTTCAGCAAATCTGCGAAACCCATGTGAGGCCCAGCAAGATGGCTTAGCAGGTAAGACTGACAACCTTGAATTCAATCCCTGGAACCACGTGGTAGGGAGAGAAAACTGAGTCCCTCAAGATAGTGTCTGACTTCCACACTCAAATCGTGACACGTGTACACACCTACAGCCACATAGTTAATTAAAACTACATGTGAACAGCAAGGCTTACTGTGATCCCAAAGATCATCAGTTTATCTCTCAGGTCATCAACTGTGGCAGCCAAAAGATACCAAGCCCTGCCCACAAGGATCCAAAAGAATATGAAACAGACAAAAAGAAACAACAGCTATGCATTATGGAGCATTCCTGGAATTACACTCTACTAAGCTGAGGCAGGATTCAGAATTCGAGTCAGTCTAGGATATATAATGACACTTTGCCAAAAAACAAACAAAAACAAAAAAACAAAAGCAAAGGAAAAACTAAAAGGATCAGTAAAAGGCTATTACACAGAAAAACAGGCTGCTTCTTTTACCTTCACCAACTTGCCATTGATTTCTGGAAATTCTCCCAGTTTTCTATTGTCTAGCATTCGGATTTCATAAGACTGTCCTAGAAGAAAATTAATTACAAATTACACCAATCACAATTCACTTATCTAGACCCAGAAAGAAAGACTGTTGAATAGACATGATAACACTACTAGTACTGACTAGCAGTGAGGCCCTGTGCTAAGCACTTCTAAATCCTATTACACCTAACAGACACAGTGTTCTAAGTTACTGTCAATCCCACTTGTACAGATAAGGAAAGTAAAACAGAAAGTCAAAGCAATCTGCCCGAGGCCACGTGGACACTGGTGGACAGCAGAGCTGGGTAGAGGAATATCCACGGGGGGCGGGGTGTGTGTGTGTGTGTGTGTGTGTGTGTGTGTGTGTGTGTAACTGATGTGGGAGGGTCTTCTGTTTTGTGTTGATTTCATTGGTTAATAAAAAACTGCCTTGGCCATTTGATAGGCCAGCCCTTAGGTGGGTGGAGTAGACAGAACAGAATGCTGGGAGGAAGAGGGAAGTGAGGCAGTCGCCATGCCTCTCTTCTCTGGGTCAGATGCCATGGAGCCAGCCGCCAGGTCAGACATGCTGAATCTTTCCCGGTAAGCTACCCCCTCATGGTGCTACAAAGATTATTAGAAATGGGTTAGTCAAGATATGAAAGTTAGCCAAGAAGAAGCTAGAAATAATGGGCCAAGCAGAGTTTAAAAGAATACAATTTGTGTGTTGTTATTTCAGGTATAAAGTTAACCATGCGGGAGCCGGGCGGGACAAAACGCAGGCCTGCTGGCCTCCTCACTACAGGTAACTGAAGATCATGAACTGAAAGTGGTCAGGAGACACACTGTCTCACATGGCTCTAGTGTGACAGGCCACATCACACAGCTCTAACCACTGTCATGTAAGCATATATAGTCACAACCATAAGCCCAGTGGGCTCTAGAGCATCTGACCTTGATTGAGGTAGGTCAGGGTCTCATCGTGGAGCTTCACTGCTGGAGAGGTGGCAGCGCAAAGAACATACTGGAACGGCAGGATTTCGTTCTCAGTGTCAGGAGGCAGACTGGACTCTTCTTGCTTAAAAATGGGCAGTGCAAGGACATCACTGAAATAAAACAAATGCCTGCTATTAGTATCTGATAACAGTGCAAAAGCAGATATATAATTTTAAAAAAATTAAGTGCAAAAATTTTTAAAAGCCATAAACACTATTCACTCAGTAAAACCTCGTCCAAACTGCCAAGTAGATTACTGTGTCAGCCCCCCCCCCACCAGACAAAGTATGCAACTAGTGACAGTATTCTCTGCTAATGTGTACAAGTCAAGACTGTTAAAGGACTCACAGACAGAAACTAAAAATAACATCTAGGGTTCCAAAATGTAAATCTAGGACATTTGGGGCAGTGGTTTAGCAATGGCTATGTGTTTGGTTCTCGGTGTGGTAACACTGAGACAGCAGAATTGTGAAAATGAAACAAATACAAGGTTAAGGGGCTGCACGCGCATTGAGAGAGAAGTAAAGTCCTGTGGAGCAGTTCCTGACAGCACGGTATTTCACTAGGGGCCTCCTCTAACTCCCCTTTAGGTGCACTTCTCTCACTAGACATAGCCGCATAAGCCTGTAAGCCCAGTCTTAGGGCAGTATCACTTGTTCTTACCCTATGATGCTGGAAACAGAGCCAAGCAGGCCAGCCCTCTGCTGGCGAATCCCACAATAGTGTACAAGTACAGCTTTCTTTACTCGTTATCCAGCACTGGGTACAGTGAAAGCAGCACTCGGCAATGCACCTGCTCTCAAAGAGCAACTACATCAACTCTATAAACATGTAAGCTGATCTACTGCACGGTCTTAAACAGTTTCTTTCTGCCTCTCTCCCCTTTCTTTTTGGTTTTTCAAGATAGTCCTGACTTGTCTTAGAACTCACTCTGTAGACCAGGTTGGCCTGGAACTCACAGAGATCCACCTGCCTCTGTCTCCCAAGTGCTGGGATTAAAGGCATGCATACTACCACAGCCTGGCTTTGCTTTGTTTTTTATTTTATGTTTTGACTACATGTATGTCTGTGCATCGCCTGCATGTTTGGTGTCTGTGGAGGTTAGAAGAGGGTGTACAGTCCCCTAAAACTGGAGTTACAGATGGTTATGAGCAGCCATGTGCATGCTGGGAATGGAACTGTTCTGGAAGACTCTGAACTACTGATCCATCTCTCCAGCTCCCTAGTGTTTTTTGTTTTATTTTAAAAAACAACAAGAAGAAATCAAAAAACAAAACAAAAAACAGGCTGGCTTTGAATTCCCTATGTCAACAAGGATGACCTTGAGTTCCCCATACTATTATCTTTACTTTTCAAGCACTCGGTTTTTACAGGTATGCAACCTACACCAGCTAAAACAATGTTTATAATTCTTTAAAAGTCACAATGCCTATGCCTATAGTCTCTGCTAACAGGATGCTGAGGCAGGACTGTAGTTCAAGGCCAGCTTGGTCTACACTGTAAGGACACTATCTCACAACAAAACAAGAATATATCAGAAATATCTTAGAAACCATAAAATAATAAAATAGATGTAAGTAAGTAGTAAAAGCATTCTTTTACAAGCTTTAACCATAGATGTTGTGGGTATTATTCAAAATCTTTTAATTTATTTATTTTTATTTCCTGTGCATTGCTGTTTTGCCTGCATGTATGTGTGTGTGAGGGTGTCAGACCCTCTGAAACCAGAGTTACAGACAGTTGTGAGCTGCCATGTGGGTGCAGAGACTCGAACCCAGGTTCTCTGGAAGAGCAGCCATTACTCAGAATCTTGATGAGCAGTCGCTCTAGCTCATGTTTAAAAGGTTCTGAGAGTGCACTAGACTATAGTGCATTTCCAGCTACCTGAGGACAAGCCATAAAACTCTCAAAACAAAGTACATTTTTATTTCTTCTGAGGAATATGTACACACTAAGACGAAAATGAATGAGAACTCTAATGTTGGTGAGGAGATAAAGCAGCCACGACTCAGTTTGGCAGCAGAAATATAAGCTAACTAAAGAACAGAATTAAGGAGTTTGAACAGAGACACCCTACATATGCTTTCCAGGAGGCATAGATTATAAAATGAAAATTTCAGGGCCAGCCATGGAATCCCCAAAGAATGACTCCTTAGGGAGTCTCTGGAGGCCCCCAAAGTAACACAGGCTATTGCCATAGCTCTCAATTGGCCGTAACTGTGATGAGACCTTGTTGTTGAAGACACCACACATTGTCACTGCAGGATACAGAAAAATCACTCCGGAACTGGTCAGGAAGCTTCCCCCTCGATGGCGTGCTTTCATGGGGCTGGAAGGGGCTATGTGGTAGCTGGGGAGAAAGGTTATCAATCGTCTTCCTCGGCACTGGACCTGCCTAGGAAAATGTGCCCGACAGTGGAATGGCAGCATGAAGGCTGTGGTGGCCTACTGCCTTCTGAGCAGACCTCATGTCTACTCCACAGGAAGGAATCCACAGCTGTGCTGTGAATCTGCTCAGAAGACTGAGTGAGGTCATAGGCTCACTGGGAACCTCCTAGTGCTATTTTGCTGAAAGGCCATGCAGTCAAACTGCTTTTTAAATATTGTATTTATATTTACAGATTTGTGCAACATTTGTCATAGAGCTTTTTACAGCAGGAAATAGTCAATACAGAAGTCCATGACTGTCAGAGCGCTGAGAATAAGTATTCACCTAATAGGACACTTATGCAAATCCCCATCCCAAGGGCCAGAGAATAGAGGAGGACAGAAAACATGTGTGAGAGTCGAAGAAGTTCTCTGAAATACTGTCCTCAGGGCTGACGTGGCTGTTGCACTCATGAACACAACAGCAGCTGGTTAGCATCAGACTTACAGGAGATCTAGCCAGTCAAAATTTCAGCATGGATGGGGAGGTGCTCACAGGCCCATGGCTAGCAAAGGAGCTAAGCTGATGGCTCTGAAAGAGGGTTATACATTTTGTATTTGGGGGTGTGGCCATTGATAAGTTGCCCATGCTCTAGTGGATGATCCCACAATCCATGAGCACACAGGCAGAACTAACCAGACTTGGTGGGAGCCTAGCCAGTTTGGACGTTCACCTTCCTAGACATGGATGGAAGGGGGAGGACCTTGGACTTTCCACAGGGCAGGGAACCCTGACTGCTCTTTGGACTAGAGAGGGAGGGGGAGAGGAGTGGGGGGAGGGGGAGAGAGTGGGGGGAGGGGGAGGGAAATGGGAGGCTGGGAGGAGGCGGAAACTTTTTTTTTCCTTTTCTTAATTAAAAAAAGGAAGGAAGGAAGGAAGGAAAGACATGAGTTAAGGAAAGGGTGGGAAAGTGGAGGGGAAACAGAGGTGACCACAATCAAAATATCAAAATACATTGTATACGTCTATAAAAAAAGAGAGAGAGAAAAGAAAAAAGAAATGAAGGGCTGGAGTGGTGACTTAGCCCGCTGGCTAAGGACACTGGAAGGACACTGCTGCTCTTACAGATGGACAGCACCCACATGGCAGTTCACAACTTTCTGTAACTCCAGAGAATCCAATGTTCTTTTCTGACCTCCACAGGCACCAGACACTACATGTGATACACATAAATGCAAGCATACAAACATTCATATACATAAAATAAAAATAATTCTTTATTTTAAAAAATGGAGAGTAACAAGGGATCAATCTCGTGTAAGGGCCCTTAAAATAGCACATGGAGTTTGTTGTGTTTACTTTGTTGGATATTTGAGATTTTGTATGATAAAAAATTTTTGTAAATAAGAAAAATCATAGCCAGATGTGATGGTGGTGCTTGCCTTTAATCCCAGCATTTAGAAGGATGTAGCGTGAGACCCTGCTTCAGAAAACAAACAAACAAAAATCCAAACAACAACAAAAACAACAACCCACCCTAAAACAACAAACACCTGTGGAAAAAGAGGACAGTACTGAAGAATTACTCAATCTTTTTGTCTGCATTAAAAAAATCATACACACACACACACACACACACACACACACACACACACACACACAAAACAGAGATATGCCTGGAACCCTCAGGCACCAGGTGAGGATGTCAGAGCCTCTGGATCTGAGGTTACAGGAATTTTTAAGCAGCCCAATCCAAGTGCTAGGAACCTAACCAGTGTCTACTGGAATTGCAGCAACTGTGATCAATCACCAAGCCACCTCCTTTCGCATTTGTTTTTAAGACTGTTTACTATGTAAACTGGGCTGGTCTTTATCTAGAGATCTTCCTACCTCATCTCCAGAGTGCTGGGATTACAAGTGTGTGCCACCATGCCCACCCAGTTCAAAACATGTGCATCCTTTGTGGAGATTCTCTCTTCATGTTTTTCTGGGCATATGTGTGTGTATGAGGTGTATGCCTACTGAGGGCACCTCTGCAAAAGGTCAGACAAGGTTGGGATCCGGCTTTCTCACTCTAAGCCATATGCCCTTGAGATAGGACTTCACACTGAACCTAGACAGGCTGGTAGCTAGCAGGCTCACCAGTTCTGTCTCCACCTCTCACACAGCCCTGGGGTCACAGGCAAGCACATAACCATGCCCAGCAAAGTGGGAAAGAAACAGCTGGAGACAGCTCCATGCATACACAGCATCTGTGGGGCTCCAGCTAGACCCTCAGCACCACAGGAGAAAACAACAAAACAAAAACACCAGGTTTACACGTGCTGGATTTGGTGGTGCTCAGGAAATGAAGCTTGCTGTATTTAAAGACAGGATCTCCTATGTAACTCACGCTGACCCTAAACGAAAGATCCTCTTGTCTTCACCCCCAAGAGCTGGGACCAGAGCCCTGCGTCTACATCCAGACTGTAAATCAGTTGTTATGAAAGCTGCTGTTGCTAAGAACTACTGAAAAGACCAGACATGGAAGGTGCTCTCCTCTTCCTCAGGCCTGTAAAGGTGTGTATTCTGTCCATATGGGTGCAGTTAAAGGGGGGAAAGTGAGGCTGGAGAGAAAACTCAGTGGTTAAAAGACCAGCTGCTTAAGTTCGATTCCCAGCAGATCCCATACAGATGGCTCACAACCATCTCTAACTCAAGTTCTAGGGATCCAACACCCTTTTTTGGCCTCCACAGGCACCA